CTTGGCCAAGTATTGTCACAGGAGCAGTAACTCTGATGGGAAAACACCTGTTATAGTAGGAATTTGGCACTGGACATCTTAGGGTATCCAAGCTAAATAAATATTTTTCTTCAAAGAGAAAATAAGAACACTTAAGCATAATTATGTCTTTCTTTGTAAGGCATGACTTGATTATGTACATAGCACTGTGTATTCAGCAGTTCGCTACAAATGCAATTCAAAAGTGAACTGTATTTCAGAACACAGGCCAAGAATCAAAATTTTTCAACGCATACAACAGTATACAAAATTTTAAATACATTGTATTACCAGAACTAATGGTCACCTACCACGATGTCCTCTGATATGAAGTCGACAGGACTTGGTATCTTTATTTCGTAACTAGTTTTGACATAACATAATTTTTATTAAACAGCAGACTATTGCACATTTTGGAATCATAAAAATCATTTTGATATCAGTAAATTTCAAGAGAGACACCATTCAGTTTTAATTCTAGATATGCAATCCATGATGAACTTGAAAACGCTATCGGGTCTTAAAAAAATGAACAGAGACATTATTTTAGATAAATATTTATTTTGGTCAAGTATCAACAGTCCTATAGTGAATCTGTACCGAAACCTGTCCGACAACTTCTATTTCAATAGTATATCATATTTCTTATGGTCAAACTGAACATCCAACAAATTCCGGAACCCCCCGGCAAATCAGCATATTCAATTCCAATAATGATGCAACTAGCCTAACCAAATTTGTATTGAGGACCAGTGCATTGTGAAATTTGACGGAGAGTTTTCTGAGCTTCCCTTGGCTAATATTTCCATTTTGTCACATTTCGACAAAAGAAAATAAATTAGGTGTGTTTGGCAATGTAAAGATTGAAATCCCAGGACGGAGCGGGATTATCCGGCATTCATTACGCTTAATGAGGGGAACTGAGGCTTAACTGGTCCTGCGGAGAACAGCTAAGGCAATAATACAGATCCCCTGCTAGCACTGGGTAGAAAAGTCATATTTGGTGGGAAATGTAAATTCAAAAGAAAATTATTCGATGTAAAATCAATTAAAATTCGCTTGATTTCAACAGATACAATATCAAATTCAAAAGTTTATAAGACGATTCCCAAGGAAATGCGATTTCTATTGTGGAAAAGTAACTCGTCTTGATTTCAAGGCACTAATTGACACTAACATGAACCTAGGTCCTGTTTCACTTAAGCTTGGTACAGTCTATACTGTCCTACAGTTCAGAGCATGCAAAAGTCTTAGAAAAAAGTATCATGAAGCACAGTGTTCGTGCGGACAAAGAATTTATCATATCCGGTGTTTTTCTGAGTCACAGAATTTAATTCATCAAAAGATCAGTTTCATGAACCTAATTTAGTGACTAACAATGTAAAAGGTGTATAATTTCAAAGAGTGCTCAAAAGAACAAAGAGGTGTACTGCATCAAGTTTAATAAAATACGGAGTCAATCTCGGAACCTTTTCGTGATTCATTTTTAAAAATAAATATTATTACCGTCTTCCTTGGAAGACGGTATAGTATAGTTGGAGTTTTTTACAGTCTTCGGACTATGCACTTCCTCTCTTTTGTGATTGGTAGAAATTGCATGATGAGAAAATTTTCAATTATTTCATTGGTTGAAATGCTGTTCAAGACAAGGGAGATAACTTTCTGATGATCTATTTTTCGTACGACTTAACAATTTTGCAAGATTTCCAATCTTAAAAAAATGACAAAACGAACAACAAAATCAGCAGTAATTATTTCTTAATAACATGATATTTTTTATAGCAATAAATAAAAAGGTCTCTTTAATTTCATTTTAAATAAAATTTGATAGTTATTGCTTGCAGGCTTTACAATTTGTTATTATTCTTTTCCCCTTTCTTGTTTGAAGATAGTCTCGTTCAACCAGACCCTCGGCTGTCTCCGTAAATCTCCGACCACCCAGAGACTAGTTTGAAGAGTGGGAATCTGCCGAGGTTTGCCGAAAGCTCTCGGCCAGTCAAGTTTACGGAGATGACCGATAGTCTCGTTCAACCAGACGCTCGGCTGTCTCCGTGAACTCCGACCAGCAGAGGTGGTCGGAGACAGCCGAGGGTCTGGTTGAACGAGACTAAGATGACCGAGCGACAACCGTGGTAGGGCTATATAATGCCCGTAAAAAGCTAATTTAGAAACACAAAATCAAGAAATTCAAAAGAATTATGCGGCCTGTTAAGTATAGATCTGTTTGCTGTTTAAAATTGTTGCTAAAGACGGTAAGCTTTTTTGAAAAGCTCTACTTGTTACTTTACGCATTTAACAAAAGACTGTTATTAAAGGGCAATTTAACATCGATCTCTGGTTTAAAAGCGGTTTATAAATGATATCTGTAACAAATCCATCAAAAAAGCTTTTAAATCCACGCCAGGGTCCGGCATGTCTTAAGACTGTCCGGCGGAGCAGACGCCAGATCGCTCCCGCGGCCAGTCTCGCGCCAAGCTCTGCCATCGTCTGCAGGTCTGCAAAAGCGGGAAAGGCAAGGTCCGAGATCGAATCACGTTTAATGACAAAAATTGATAGAGTTTTGCATTAAATATAAAGATGTTAGGTCTTAAAAGATGCCTCAATTGTATATATAGCATTTCATGATTTTTCTAAACGTATTCTTTATATGATGACAGGAAGTTGCAGACAATTTAATTTTAATATCTGATCGAAGTCGGGATTACTTGTCTGTTCTGTACAGAATCGTTGGCATATATTTCTTCCCAACAATAATTTCACACGATGCCATTAAAGATACGAGTGAAAGGAACATAATAAAATCGTCGGTAAAAATGACACACATTATCCCCGAAATGGTTTATTTTTTTCTTTGGCGACTGCGATTTGAAAAAAATATATGTAGGTACATGTATATAATGAAAAACGCCCAGTTCGTTTTGTAGATTTGTTTTTCATTTTAAGATTGAACGATATACATGTGTACCAAAAATGACGTGTTTATAGTTAAGGAAAACAAATTAATTCAAAGAAAGTCGGAGAACTGACAAAATTTGGCATTTTTATACTGTATGATTTCTGAACTATAGCTTGACCTTTTGACCTTGAAACAAATGTGATCTTAAGGCCACGAGGAGTAGTGATATAAAATTTAATTGCAATCATCTCAAAGACATTTAGAGGTATTGCCTGGAAAAAAAGTATTGCAGAAAGAATGAATGAATTTATATATTACCTTGACCTTTGACTTTTTGACCTCGATATCGATATGGTCCAATTTAGGTCATAGGGAGTTGTGGTTTAAATATCACTGCGAAAGTTCAAAGGCTTCTTGAGATACAAACAGAATGTACGGAATTGACTTTGACCTCATGGCCTCAAAATCATTGGGGTATTTTTGGGCCACAGAAAGTCTTTTAAATAAAATTTCTTGGCACAAGTTCATAGGCTTCTCGAGATATCGCCCGGAAATGAAAATGCTATAAACAGACACAAAGAGAATGTACAGTATGAATTTATGACCTTCAAGCTTGAAGGTTGACCCTTTGATCTCTAAATTAACAGAGTCTTCTTTTGGCCATAGAAAGTTTTGATATAAAATATCATTGCAAAAGCTCAAAGGCGTCTCAAGATACTGCTGAGAAAAGTAACAGGTCCACATGGACAGAATACATACACCCTTTATGACCTTGAAGTCTTGGACCTCGAAATTCGTTACAACAGCTCAAAGGCTTCTCAAGATATCGCTCTGAAACTATAGTACATGCAGACAGATTGTATGAATTTGTGACCTTGAACTTTGACCTTTGAACCTAAAATAAATAGGAGTCTTCTTTACGCCATATGGAGTTCTGATAAACTTTCATTTTTAAAGCTCAAAAAACTTCTCGAGACATGGCCTGGAAACGGAAGTGTTCCACAGAGACAGAATGTATGAATTTATTACCTTGACCTCAAAATTAATAGGGGTATTCTTTACGCCATAGAAGTTATGGTGTGATATTTTATATCCTTAGTTTTGGCATATGTATCATGTTTCTAATAATGACCGCAGCGGTTCTTGAAATAGAATTTTCTTTAATGATTGACCGATCCAGAGCCCCCAGCGAATATAGTATGTAATCAGTAAGACCAAATTTAAACATGAATTTGAAAATAATACTTTTTTTCAAATGAAGTTACAAATGGAGACTGAAATTTTTGCTCATATTAGGACGTCACCAGTTGCTAGTGGGAGGCTGCAAATTGAGACTTGAACTCGGCGTCTACAGTCAATGAACAGTTATAGAGATATTTATCGTGCCAGCGGCTGCAGCACTGGATCTCGACATGCGAAGGACCATTCTCCACGTCCAGAAAACATTTAAACATACAAATGATCCACTCCTTGCATCGCGACTCAAACCACTGCGTCACGCGGGCGACAGTATTTGTCTGGTTGTTCCTACCCGTTGCACGACTACTTGCTCTGAACAAGGGACCGTTCAATCTGTGTGTCCGGGTATCGATCTCGAAATATCGGTGACAGAACTGGGCCTCCAGCGCTTACTTATCATGTAGAGCACTGACAGCGGGGTATATTCTGGTTATCTCATTCGGGCTGATAGTCAGTGACAATCGATATACCTAGACCTATATATCTACCTGTTCTGAGGGCCGCAGGCTAACCACACACTTACATAGCGGGACTTTTTCCAGTTAGTACAATTATTCGAGGCTTGGTCCCGTTACTAGTATAGTACTTCTTATAGCTTCGGAGTCCAAATAAATATAATACCGTTATAATTCAACCAACAACCATAAAGCACACTGAAAACGTTTAAATCAAAGAACTCTTTTAAAAAAATCTTTTACAAGAGAAAGGGCTCTACTGCAAATTAAATCAACAGGAAGAATTTTTTTTGAAAATGAATAGTTTTTGAATCACAGTGTCACCAGGAAACACTTTGAAGCAGGAATAGTGATATTACAGTTATCATGTTCTCAGGGAAAACTCTTCCTTATAAGAATGGGCGTATTCAGGATTAACACAATAATATTTGCCCAAATTTAGCCGTGATTCACTTCATTTACACGTGTGCATGAATTTGACCCCTTTGTAAATCACTCCTCCTAAGCTTCAAGAAAAACAAGGTCCGATATTGAGTATCCTGGCGGAGATTTGAAATTTTTATTATCTTTTATCAAGATTTTCCGCGGCGATAATCCCGCCTAATAATGAATCTACCAAGATACTGTAGATGGTATACCGTATATGACAAAGAGACGATTGTTCACCAATAAAAACATTTAGTGTTGGTGGAAATCTAGGCCCCACTTTTTTTTCTTTTTTAACACAAGAAGGGCACACTTACGTGAAAAGAAAAGCTATACATTGCTTTATTGCCGCGGGACACATAAGTACACATAAATCTCGGCTTTAAAGTTTGTAATTTCGCTCGATGTAAAGATAGGATCAGACTTGCACAAGAGTAGGGACATCATTGGCTACGGTACAAATTTGTAAGGTCATCCGGAGTCCTGACCCGTTAGATATAGCTATGTTGCGCTGATTTATGGCTAATCTTACGAACTCGCGTGCCAGACAGCTAATCGGAGAGACCTTCGCGTGACGAAGTTATTCGTCGGTGGGACTAACTCGTGTCAGTGTTGAAAAACACATCAAACCCAACAGGCATGATTTTTACAGTGACAACAATTAATTAATTAATCAGGGATTTATACAGTATGGCACCTACGGAATCTAAGGATGAAGTGAAGAAAGATGTTGTTCATAGTTCCACAGGCTCACCAAAACGGAGGGTATGGGTTACGGTTTCATATACTAACGTATATTGAATATATTTTTATCTTGAATAATTAAAAATTCTGTTTACCTTCATTCATTACTTCTGACAAGCGGTCATAGTTTTGTTTACATTTTTAAAATGGTGTGTGTGTTCATGTCACCTGTATATATAAATTCTTTTTTTTTTAAATCTACGACGGATTTCAATTCTTTATATAAAGAGAAAACAAGGTTTAAATTCCAGAAATTAACCACTTCTCTGAAATTATTTTTTTTTCATGAAGATATAAAATATATCTAATAAAAAGCTAAAAATCCTAAATGCATGTTTTGTATTTTTTATGTTTTTACAATGTCTGTGTATTATTTGTTGAATTTACTCTTCATTAATTTAAATCTTGGTCGTGATTTACCGTACCCTGTGGCGCGGGTACCCCCGATATTATGACATCACGTAGCACGAGACAGTCGCGAGTTTTTTTTTTGTTTTTTTTTTTTGACAGAGAGACTAAAATTGAAAGTTTTTAAGACAGGAACAATGGAATTCCGGAGCATTATTCTGCTCAATCACGGCCTAAGTATGACATTGCGTTACTAATCCTAACCGATAGCTCTAATCCCCGGGGTTAAGATCAATGGATATCGTTGCAGATTTCGGATTAGGACTGAAGATTCATGACATATAAAACAGAGAAAAAGCCAACGTAATTTCAAGTCAATCGTACCCCGTTGCCTGACGAGCAATGTTAAAAGAATATTCCTAATCCCATAAATGCCAGATACTTTTTCTAAATGATGTTATACATGACACTCTTAATCGTTACATTAAGATGCCAACATTGACGATTTAGGTATTTTTTCTACCTACTACAGCGTTCAAATTCTCCTTTTCCAGGTGAACAAACCAATGATAGAAAGAAGAAGGAGAGAAAGAATAAACGAATGTTTGAACCAACTTCAAACTCTGATAGCTCAGCTGGATAAAGAAAAACCTAAGGTAAATTCAGGGCTTGACAAAAGAAATGAGAGTACACAGTCCATTAAGGTCTCTGCCTCTCCTTACATGATGAGAAGGCTGATAAGGTTAATGACACATACGTTACTAATTGATGATGCTACTGGACCTAATTCTCCAGGCGATACATTGTTCATTCTTTATCTGTTTTTCTCCATGAAATAACTAACTCTCTCTCCCCCGTTTATAATGAGACTGATTGCGTATACAGTGTTCATTAAAATTGTTTATAATGAAATGGACATAATTCTGTGTATTGCTTTACGTTGTAAAATGTTCATTAAAATTTATGGTCCTGTTTATATGTTTTTATGTGCACGCCTGTATGTCAATAATAAAAGAACAAAGGTCTTCCCTAATTAGTGTAATCAACAAAGGAAAAAAATGACCAAGTTGACTGAACATAATATACATCATGTATTAATTTTTAGGGAGAAATTTGCATAATACTGTGTACACGTGTACAAGTGTCTGTTCACTTTGTTGCATGTACATGCTTTTTATTGCATTGTGAAGCATTTTCTTTGGACGTAATGATGTTATGGTCTGTATATGGCCTGTTTATATGCAGATGACTATGCATAAAATTTATGTGCACGTCTGTATGTCAATAACAAAAGAACAAAGGTCTTCCCTAATTAGTGTAATCAACAAAGGAAAAAAATTACCAAGTTGACTGAAAGTAATATACATCATGTATTAATTTTTAGTATTATTATGTCAGAGGAATATATATATTCCTGATATATGTTTTATAATATATAAGAAGTCTAAATAAAGGTATATCCGAAAAAATAAATGATTATTTAACTTTCCTTCTAATATATATAACACTCTTTCTTGGCTTGTCATTTGTTATAAATATATTTAACGATTTATTGATAAATAAAACATAATAAAGAGACCTATTTGATTAGTTAATCGCAAAAAACGAAATTAAGTGGCTTGTACCCGATTTCGAATCTCGAATTTTGAATCTCGTATTTCGAATTATCTATAGCCTTCTGCTTTCTGATCCGCTTGTCGATCGAGGTTTACACAAGCCGGGAGGTTTACACAAGCCGAGATCGCGGGTCAGACATCTGCGTTAAGTCCTGTCAGAGCACGAAACAGATTTCATTAAAGCTAAGTAAGAAAGATATATTTAGCTATTTAAATTCGAATTGATAAAAGTAAACATTTTTACGTGCACTCGTCAAAGAGAAGTGAACGTGCCTTAACATGTGACGGATACCTCGTCCGCAATCAAATTTATTATCATTTCTGCTCAACAAACACGGAAAATGGCATATCTGTTGAGACTCTGTTTGTTTCTATGGTTTGTGGTTGACGTAAAGCCATGCGATGACTGCTTTTGTGATATTCTTAAGAAAATTTTCAATTTTGATTTTTTGATGAACATGGTGGATTTGGATAGAAAATTGATTTTTACCCAGAGCAAATGAGAAGCTTGTCTGTCTTTTGATATTTTCTCTTCTATCACGTCTCAACACTGGAGCAATTTAACAACGACTCTAAGAATATTGAATATTTGTTTATTTAACTTTGAGATAAATCATTTTTTGTTGATTTTTCCATGATTGATTCTTTTATCTCATTCAAACTTGAATCAGATATAAAAATTGTCGACGACTCTTTAACTGTAAAAGACATGCTGCGTAATGTGCAGAAGCGAATAAAAGAGAATTCATTTTTTGTCAGTTAAAAAATTTCCTCCTGATATTAAAACCCCCGATATAATATTATAGTTAACTACCTTAAAAAAAGGAAGTACCAAATTTCGGGAAGTAAAATAAAGAATCAAGAATTATACCAGTATGGAAATACCAATAGAATTTGCATTTTAAAAAATAGACAGCGAACCTGAATTAACTTAAGGGAGAAAGTATTTCCCCTTCCCTGGGTAGAGAGTTCGATAAATACTTTTAATCGCGTGCAATGAATCCCTGAAATTGGATTTGGCAGGAATTAAGCTTTTCATTTTATGCAAATTTAGAATACTATGGTAGATTTACTTCTCTTTTACCCCCTTCTTCCCAACTTTATTGATATCTAATATTCCAAATTAAAAACCTACTGAGGTGTACGAAAACGAGAATTTTCAAATTTCACTCGTACAAGCGAAAGCTTTATAAGATTTGATGAGATTCACTTTACATGAGAAAATCGCAATAAAGACTTACATTCCCACATATAATCGTGCACTAAGACCAGTTCAAAACATACAGTATTGGAATTAAATTGTTTGTATGATGGTATTGATGTGCTAAAATCAGGCAGAAAGTTTTGTGGAAAGTGAAGCGGTTTCAAATGGCGTCTCTTGAAATATCAAACAATACAAAAAGGGTCTTAATCTAAGAACATATGTTCCCTGATTTGAAAATTAATCAAATCCTTATTATTCTATTTCTAGGATGGCTTTGAAAATTTACTACTTAATATTCATATCTTTTAATATAAAAAATTCCAACAATGAAATTAACGATCCGAATAGTAGATTGTACTAAGAAACAAACGCTGAACTTATTGGGGATAACAGGTGCCCATGTTAAGTACATGATGTTGTACGCAGTTTGATGAATATCGGTATCTTTTATTGTTTTGTTGTTTTTTTTTTTTTGGGGGGGGGGGGGGTAAAGCTTTTGTTTGTTTCGTAGTAATTATGAGGTGTGGTTTGTTTTTTTGATCATGAATCATATTTTTCCTTTGCTTTGTTTTCTTATAATAAAATATGTGATTAATTTCAGATCGGAAAGTCTAATAAGTTGGAGAAAGCCGATATTTTGGAAATGACTGTAGACTTCGTAAAGCGATCCCAGCCAATGCTTAAAGAAGGTACAAATATAATGCGCTTTGACAATTATATATATAATAGACACTAAACCTCATTCATGCAAAAAAAGCAGTGAATGAAATGCCTCAAATATATTCAAAAATTTTCTAATTTTTATGCAGTTTTTATACTCATGTTGCAGAGAATGAAAAGAAAGAAAGTCCCGCGGATAGTGTGCAATATCAAGCAGGGTATGAGAAATGCCGGATTGAGATCCAATCCTTTCTACAAACCTCAGAAAACGTCCCCGAGGAAGTGAAAACTGCTTTACTGAAACAAATCCAAAACAGTCCTAAACAGCAACCATCACAACCGACTGAAACCAATGCACGAGTCCAAGATCTGAATCCTAAAAGTAGCGCACCAACTTCCTTTGCAAATATTCTTCCGCGTGCACAAAGCACCACGGTCGCAGTTGCAGCTTCATCAGCATCCTGTCAGACGACAAGTCAGATTCCAGGAAACAAAAATGTTTTTATATGTAACCCCAGTGCTCCGACATACGTCCTTGTTCCCACAGCAACGTTGTGTCAGCCCATACCCGTGAACTCTCAGGTGACCCAAACAAACGATTCACCTTTGAACTTGGTAAAACCATCAAGAATCGGAAACGAAATAGTCCCAAATACCCAGCATCAGACCTCAGCAATGCAGCTTGGATCTGTTGTCAATGGAAACCAGTTTGTAGTCATTCCACAGGGACAGATTTCGCAGGTTTCAAACTTAATGACGTCACCAGTGGTAGGGGGACAACCCACCGTTCTACCCTCAAACGCAATGCAAAATTTACACGGCAACTTCCTGTGTATGCCCAATGTGCAGATTCCTTTTTCGGCTCCTCAGTCAGATCAAGATGTTTGGCGTCCGTGGTGAAGGTTTTGTTTACCTTGCAGAATATCAACTCCCTTTCAATAAATTAAATATTTTCCTTCCAAACTTCTTATATCTTTTTTTTTTAATTAGTGCAGCTGTTTGATACAAGTGCGTTAATTTTTTCTTTTAATTTATCTTAACTTTTTCTACTTTTTTGTTACTGAGTATTCAATCACTTAATGGTGTTTTATATTGCTGCTCTACATATTTACTATGCATATAATATGATGCAGATTTAACAGAACAGAGACAATTACTAGTTCCTGTTTGAAGCTTGTTAACAGTCTTCCTAGATGAGTATTTGTGATATAATGGGGAAGATCATTCCATAAATTATTTTGTATTATTATTGAGTTGTTTTTATTACTTGTTTGTTAAAATTTTTATACATTAACATCTAATGTTTTCATTAAATTTAAAGGTGCTGATTAAATAGTTATTCGTAATCTTGTTCTTTTAATTTCTTTATTCAATACACAATATATGACTTTACCTATTCGCTGGACAATTTTGTTGGAGAAAAGTCTGGTAGATAAAATTTTGGTTAGTTAAACGTCCATGACAGCTTATTTATCGCTATAAATCACTCAGATCTGTACACACGTTATAAACGTTGACATAAGCTATCTCAGTTTTTAAATCTAAATACTAATTCTTGGCCTTTTAATAGACGTGTAAATGAATTTGATGCTAATGCAACACATATTTTTTTTAAAGTCTTGCATACACAATGAAATTGATACTAGAAAGGCGGACTTATGTGAAAACGATAACTGCTGGTATTCTGTACATCCCGTGTTATCGTGCTTCCCCCCGTGACCCGGGCTGTAGATATAAATAATAATTTTATGATGTATTTTATGCATCACCGCTGATACTGATGTTATCTTTAAATTTCTGTCACCTCTTAGGTCTTTATTTACTGGATGTGTCAGAGGTTTACTTGGAGTACGCGTTGCTCAAAGAAACACAATGATGTCGCAAGAAAAAGATCGCTATCTCCACCGGAAGATGATATTTTGGGTGCGAACATTAAACTTTTCAGATCTTACAAAGATAGGAAAGGAAAAAATCGTATGAGAAAATGATTATAAGATGAAAATATTTTATGACGGGTGACATGATAGCAGCTTCGTCAGGTAGCGAACGGAAATGCCCACGTGTGCAAATTTTCAATTTCCCACTCTTAATGGTACCCATGTTTAAGCTCATTTAATCCAGCACAAAATTCATTACACACGAAATGGTGTTTTTCGTTTTGTAAAGAAATGTTAAATTGATTTAATGAAATCTAAATAACTCTGAGACGTAACAAAGGTGTCGCGGACATTTGACGGGCGGGATTTGATACAACGTTGAATAAACTCATCAAAGAAAACGGACCCGCAACCTTTGTAAATTGTCCGGAATTGTCAAGCCGCAAGGTGCGTGAAATTAGCTCCATTACAGTTAGATCGCAGCCAGTTCTTCAAAAGTTGTCGAAACTATATATTTTACACAGATTCTACATGTATTTTAATGAATAACTATCAATATGAAATTATTATTAGTTGCATGATATACATGTACTCGTAATACTTAAATGGCTCAATGAAGTTTTTGTTTTAAATAAAACATCATGTACCTTTCAAGCAATAACCCGACATGTGGTATTAAGTCACATCCATGTTGACTTGATTTTTATTATACCTAACATTTTTTATTAAAAGTGTCCTGGGTTTCTTGAATAAAAAGTCCTATCACAAGGATTAAATATGTGAAACAGAAAGCCTTGGTCCTTTTTATGATGAAGGTTTGCACAACGTCAGTTTATCAAAATTTGAGGACAAGTACCAATCGCATTGTCGCAATGATGCTCAATTAAATGACTCCTAGGGATAATGGATAAACAAGCGAAATATGTCCTAGAATCTCCATGCAAAAGTTATGGCAAGATGTGTTTGTGAAACACTGGAAAGGTCATAAGGAATAAACATGTGAAATATGAATGTCATAGCTTCACTTCATCATAAGTTATGGGCAAAGTTTTTGTGACGGATGACAGATTATGGCGACGGTTTAATTTTCTCAAATGCAAGTTGAACTTCAAGCTCAAGCTCAAAATTTTTGATATTGTCACAAGGAATTCACATGTGAAATATGACACCCTAGTTCTACGTGTTCAAAAGTTAAAGCCAAGGTTAAAGTTTTTAAAAAGTGGGTTAAACTCTGAGGTCAAGGTCAAAGATATTTATACCCAAGGAAAGATTTTGTCGAATACACATGTGAAATATGAAAGCCCTAGTACCAACTGTTCAAAAGTTATGGCCAAGGTTAAAATTTGGTATGTTTTTGTTAAAATGGGTCAAAATCAAGATCAAGAGGTCAAATTTGGTGGTACCCGAGGAAAGGTCTCACCTGTGAAATATGATAACCATAGCACAACCCACTCAAAAGTTACGGACAAGGTTAAAGTTTTTACCGACAAACAGACAGACGGACAGACATGCAGGGCAAAAACTATACATCCGAATCTTCGATTACGGGGGCATAACAAACAAAGGCACTGTGCATGTATTATATCATTGTTTCAGTAAATGTTATTCAGAGGTCTTAACGTTGGGGGAGAGGGCATTTCAATGATTCTTTCAGTGAGATTGAGTCGATATCAACAGTGAACTTTAGTAAATTTGTTGACCGTACCCTGTTTTGTGGTAAAAGTGGTGGTGGTGGGTTTCAGACGCTTTCCTAAATCCAATTTCCGATAAGGAGTCTTCTTACCGCATTTTTTAAGGGGTCAGTGATCCCAAAAGGGGTTCAAGGTAGTCTATATGCCACCGTGACCGAAAACGAAAAATCGTGGGTATGTAGTTTTTGCCCTGGTCGTTCGTCCGTCTCTGTCTCTTTGTTTGCAAAACCGTCAATAATACCCATAACTTTTGATTGGATGGAGCTATGACTACCTTGCTTCACATATTACTTGTAACAAGACATTTCGTTCTGCACGAATCTTTGACCTCTAAGTTTGACCCCAAAAATTATCAAACTTTAACCTTGGCCATAACTTTTGATCAAATAAGGCTAGGACTTTTGTAGTCCACATGTTTATTCATTTTGACAAGACCATTCTTTGGCTTCAAATATTTTTGACCTTGACCTTGGAGTTTGACCCACTTTTAAAAACTTTTACCATATTTTTGAGCCATTGTAGTTGGTGCTAGGGCTTTTTTATTTCATATATACAATGTATAATCCTTGTGACAAAACTTTTCTCTGGGTACCATAACTCTTGACCTTCTGACTTTGACCTTGGAGTTTGACCCACCTTTTATAATAAACTTTCACTTTAACCATAACTTTTGAACGGTTTGTGCTTGGGTTTTTATACTATATTTCAAATGTATATTCACTGACAAGTCCTTTCTTTTGATAACATTTTTGATCCCTTGGAATTTGACTGGGATAGAACCTTCACCTTGTCGTAAGGTGCCATACGGGTGCATCAGTGTTTCACTAACACGCTTCTATGAAATAGAAATTTTGTAATTCTGAAAATTTTAAATGGGTCCGAACCTTATAAATGAATGTAATGTTCAATATGCCTTGTGTTCGGAAAAAATAATGATGATGGGATTTAACATTAATTATTTACAAAATGTTTTAACTTAATTTGTGTAGAGTTTTATTCAATACTGCATGTGGTTGTGAATATGCATAATCAATCGGCTCAATGTATGAGACACAAAATGGATCTTAAACTCCATGGAAAACGTTTTATAGCAAATGTTGCGGGACTGCATTTGGAAAAATCACGTACCATCAGGATTGCGTGACATTGCTATAAAGTTGCAAGAAACCCATTACGTAAACAAGACCTGTTTAGGAAGAGACTTTGCGACGCGTGCTGTTGCGTGTTGAGTTCTGAGTCAGGGTATTTTTTACTCTGTCGTATACCACCCTGTAGAATATGGCTATTTCGAGGGTAAGTTTATAAATTGAAATTAATAATGAATTTTGGGCGGGTTAGTCTTAAATATAGCTGCAGAACTGTAGCGTTATGGTTTTATAGAATTAGTCTTTGACCATCTGCAACGATGTCCAGTCTTGTAACCATGAGCACTAGTTTGGAGTAAAGACTGAACCAGTTTATGAACACCATAAACGTATCTTTAATGATTTAAAAAAATTTTTTAACCAGTTTAGCATCGCAATTCAAGGGTTTCTTTAGTCCGCTTCGCTCCTTGCAAAGCTAAACCGATAACCCCTGCAATTCTACTTTCGATAATGACAGTTGAGTTAAGAGGGAAGGGACGGGTGTATTAACTAGATTTGTATTCTGGTTTCAAAATCCATCTAAAAGTGCGAATGTATGTCTTATATTAAAGTGAATTAAAAATCAATCTACATGTAAGTTCTTTATTGGGATGGACTTTGGCTCCAGATTGGACAAGACTTTCTTCCATTTCATGACTATTTCTTGTGTCTATTACGGACAACTTCATTTGTCTCTCCAGATACTTAGTTTTTTCTGTAATTGTCTTCATTTAGTATTATTATGGAAAATCACACGAATCCTTTGGAAGGTTTGTTCCCCTCGAGCAATTTTCACCCAAATGGATATGCCACCACTTTGCCGATGAAGAGCTAAAAATCTTGTCCTGTACTCGGCACGTAGGGCCATTGAACAGTGAGGAATCTTTTTCGTACCAAAACCTATAATTGCGATACGGGACATTGGTTTTTCGATGGACCGGTCTCCGTCCCGCATTGGACTCGAACCCGCGAGGGATCAGATCAGAGCAGACGCTCTAACCACTGCGCCAAGAAGACGACGTTTTTCGAACGTACATCTGCATCAAAATGCTATTTCTAGATAGTTTTTCTAAATGCATGTCTTACTGGTGATTCATTTTTCCAGTTTTTCAAGCTAGACACCCATAAAGCACTTTGTTATTGTCTTCGTGGTAGGAGAACTAAGGTCAACTCATTGACTCATCAGTATAAAACTGTAATGAATTCATAAAATACATCTTAGATAACACCAATCATCTCTTGTGCAGATGTTTTATTGCTAAGCCCGAACAATAAAGGATCCCCATTTCCAAAAGTCTCTGAACGGAGAAAAAGAATTGGGGTTTTTTCGGGAAAAAGTCAATAACTGCAAACGGCTTACAGATATAGATAAGATCGGAGTGCAGCACATAGCAAAATTCAGAGACACACTTGTGTAGTCTTAAAATTGACGGTTTGCAATGACATATTCTCACAACAAAACATAAACATACTTAACAAAGTTATTTGACCAGTTCGGAATAAGAAACCGATTCAGCGGTGCTATAAATATACGAGGCATTATTTCAAAATCTAAGTTTTTTTGTGAAGGTAGTTCAGTGACTTGGGGAATTAAATATTGTTTCCTCAAAGTTCATCCTTCCCCAAAAAAAATTTATTTCGCAAGTTAACATAGGCACTCATTTTACCAGTTACGAATAAGCCGACGAGTTCCGAATACCCTATCGGTTCCCATTCTATTCAACCCTATATTCAAAGATATACATCCCACACATTATCCTTTGGCATCCCTAAAAAAAGTTAAATTAATTACTTACCAATAATTTATTTGTATTTCCAAAGGATAAAGAGAAACTAAAGGTACTATGAGCCACTTTGATGATGCCCCCACTCCTCTTATATGATAATTATGACAAAGTCCATGTACTTTCTCTGTGAGACCCGAAATAAATGTCAGATCAAAAAGTAAAATGAGAGGTCACAACAGCATCATGTAATAAAGAATCTGTGAAAGTATCACTAAATCTTATTCAGTGGTATATTGAAGGAATTGTGGATAAGAGATAGATATATATATACATGAACCCTTCAAAATTAGAAAGAATGGCAGAATCCATGTTTTGCTAACGGAGCCCAAATTGTGTGTCAGATCAAAAAATAAAGTTAAAGGTTAAAAAAAAATAGACAAAAACGACAAAATGTTTGTTTTTTCATTAATTTCAAAGCGGTTTACAACTAAAACATCGTATTTTGTTAATACATATATATTAATTCAATCTAATTTCTTTGCGTAAAACATAAGAGAAGATTTAAGGACCATATAATCATATAACATACTTTTTTCAAAATATGGTGATGCTTTAAAGCCCATTTCAATGGAGAAGCCTCTACCCCCTTATTTCAAGAGCCGGAAAAAGTATAATTTATTATTTACCATTAGTATTAAAATGATTAATCGTGATCAATTACCATTGAACTGTACTTTGTATCAACAAAGATTTTATGGCCAAATTGCCATCAATATAATTTATTAAATGGGTGTTAAATATAGGTGGGAATCGAGAGTAAGTGAGTAGTTCTTTATCTTTGTGTTCAAGCAAAGAAAGACAACTCTTTCCCTTTGAGTGTACTCTGAAAATCGGAAAAGGGGGGGGGGGGGGGGGTCGACATTGTGAACAATTAACCAATCTAATTAAAATTATATCTTTGATCTGCTCCATCTAGATCGCTACACAAGCTTTGATTGACAATTGACAGATATGACGGACAACAAACAATAAGAAAAACACTAGAGCTATTCAAAAATTTCGGATCCAAAATCCATTTAGAACTTAAGATTTACTTTGTATTGTCTGGTAAAGGGAAAAATTAAGGCTATATATTCCTGAAATACGTCTCAGTAAATCACAGACAGCATTTGCCCAACTTCAGCCCATCTGGAAGTCAAACAACTACAGTCTGAGAACCAAACTCCAACTTTACAACAGCAATGTCAAATCAGTTCTCCTGTATGGGTCTGAATGCTGGCGTGTTGTTGACAGCGACATGAGAAAAGTAGAGGCATTCAACAACAACAATCCACCGTATCTTCTGGTCAAACAAGATCTCTAACAGAGACCTGCACAAGAAAAGCAAGAGCAGGAGTATAACAACAGAAATCAAGCAAAGAAGAATGAGATGTTTTGGACACTTGATGAGAATGCCCCAGAGCAGGATTCCAAAAACAGCCTTTTATTGGACACCATCTGGAAAGAGGAAGCGAGGTAGACCACGAACAACATGGAGAAGAAATATAACATCAGAGTTAGAGGAAATGGGCTACTCGTGGGGGCAGGCACAGTATGTGGCAAAGGATAGAGGAAGATGGAGGCAGCTTGTTGAAGCCTTATGTCCCATCGGGGACGAAGAGGATAAGTAAGTAAGTATTCCTGAAACAGCAAAATGGAAGATGATCAAGAAAAGGGCCAAAATTGCGTGTGTATCTCAACACTGAAATGTTCCTAAAAGAGAAACTTCCATAGAGCTTACTCACATCTGATAAGAGGGTGGGACCACGATGAGGAATCTAACCTCCAAGGCTGGTAGTAATATCGATCGATGCCCCGATGTATTTAGGTTCTTTGACAAATATCGTTTTGCGATACGTTTTTACAGTTTCTCCTATATTTACCAGCAAAATGCTTGAGCTTCACGTTTAAGATATGATATTTAACTGTTATTGAAAATATTGCACTTCATATCGAAATACAGTTTTAAATACCTCATCGTCGGATACCCAAGGGGATCTCGTCTCTTACATATCATTAGTAGTGATGCTAATCAGTAGTAGTGATGAGTGAGATCTCCCGTGGGTATCCGACAATGCTCAACAAACAAACAAACAAACAAACAAACAAACGAAAAACAAACAAAATGTGTTTTTGAAACACTGATGCCCCCCCCTTTCCACCGTATGGCATCATAGTGAAGGTTATAAAACTTTCTCAAATGTAAACATTCGATTGGTATCCAAAGTAAGGCCTTCTTACATGAAAAACAGTTGTGAAATATGAAAGCCCTAGCACAACCTATTCAAAAGTGATGGCTAAGGTTAGTTTTTCAAAAGTAGGTCAAACTCCAGGGTCAATTAAGGTAAAAGGTCAATTCGATGAAAGTTTTGTCATAAGGATGATATAGATAAGATAAGATAAGATAATTTTATTTTCAAAATTTATGGCCCATAAGCATAAGGGTTTTATTTTTTTAATGACAAGATAGAAAGTTCTGAAAAAAGGTTAGTAAACATACACAAACATAAACACACACATGTGTATACCTGTGAAATATATACAAGTAACTGTACATGTAAAGTTATGCAGCAGTTGGGATTATCAAATCGCTAATTAACATGCAATCAAAATCAATATTATCAATATACATATATACTAGTATACAAATAGATATGTGTCAATAACATCATTTATGAGGACTCATGGCATTATGCCATATTTTGAAGGCTTTGATAAGATATTGACTTAGTTTTGTAATAATTAGATTGTCTTCATTAGACATTATAACCAGAGAAATTTGTCTGCTTTTGATAATAATATGAAATTTTTGTTAAGTAATGAGATATCACGAAAAAAATTATCTCTCTCCTCAGTATATAATGGACATTCAGTAAGAAAATGATATTCATCTTCTATATAGTTTTTGGTTACACATTAAACCTATACTATAGAGGGGTAAATCTTATATACATATCATTTGACGTTTAAAGAATTTCATGGGGAGCGCCAATGATCATTTATAGAGTTCATGTCCCCCCTTGAAGGCTTCCAAACAAAAAATAAACGACTAACGTAGAGCAATATACCTTTTTTAACCATGAATAATTTCATATTTTAGTAAAAATATATTTAATTTAACTAAAATATTCTATGGTTTAACTTTTTTAACCTCCCCTATTTGATGACAAAAGGACCTCTCCTAAATCCGCCACTAGGTACTTATGCGGATGTCACGTGACCTGTAGAGTTATCTTCCGTGATCACACGTGCGATTTTACACAGAAATGGCGGTGAAACATGAGTGGAAAGGGATGTGAGAAGTTTCGCTTCTTTACATAGTTTATTGTGCAAATTTCTTCTGATATAACTTGCAGTAAAACCATCCGTCCACGGGTTAACAGAATGCAATGACTGTCACGAGTTGATGGCCGCGTAAGTAAGGGAAAGCACATTGTAGCTCGGGGACCGATAAACCACGCTGCGGAGCGGTGACCACGCTGTTGAGCTCGGGGAAAACATGGAGTCTGTCACTGGTTGGTTAGAGCTGGAGGATGGCACACGGTTTGCGGGCAAAGTGTTCGGGGCACATACTAATGTACCCGGAGAAGTAGGTAGGTATTGTTAAAAGATGAAATTATTAAAATTGCGCATTTAAAGAAGGGAGAAAAAAAATATATGTAAAGCACATGTTACACAGATAATAAGATATACATGTTCATTTGGAAATGAAAATACGGACATTATCAAGCGTAACTGTGTATCTGGCTAGTCACTATATATAGTGCATTTCAGAAAATGACAAAAATAGTGAAGAATTTAAATGCACTTGAGACAATAAAAAAAAAACAAATGTGATCGTTAAAATTTTATATTGCCATGTGAACTGATGTGAACATTCTGTTCCAGTTTTTCAGACGGGGATGGTGGGATACCCTGAATCTTTGACTGACCCTTCATACAGAAAGCAGATTTTGATCCTGACATACCCACTTATTGGGAATTATGGGATACCAGCTGTAGAGAAAGATGAATATGGACTAACTGAGTGGTTTGAATCGGCAGAGATACATGCCGCAGGACTTATTGTGGGAGATGTTACAGAAAAGTACAGTCACTGGAGTGCCATAAAATCTTTGTCAAAATGGCTCAGCGAATACAAGATTCCAGGACTGTATGGTAAATACATATCCGTGTTAATAATGTATTGATATTAAGGTCCAGTTTTATTGAAGAATGGTTATAACTTATTAGAATTATTCAATCTTGATTTATACATCTCTTTTAGGCTTGGATACAAGAGCACTGACCAAAAAGATTCGTGAGAAAGGGACGATGCTTGGAAAGGTAAAAACATTCTGAAAATTGTCAGATGTGAAAGGGAATGTGCTTCTATCCTCAAAAATCAAGATTTAAAAAAAAAAAAAAGGATATTAAAATTTTCACAAAAAACTTGTGGCTGGGATGTTAATAAAGTTTACTTTATTCCAGATTTTAATGGAGGGAACAGACAGCACAAGCATTCCCCTTACGGATCCAAACAAAATAAACCTGGTAGCAGAAGTCTCATTAAAGGTGAGGATTTTTGTTTTAAAAAAGGAGAAACAATAAAACCATATTTAGTAGGTAATTGATATCCTGCAAAGGCATCCTTGGAACCTGGCACAGGAGTCAGAGAGGAATTTTCTCTCTCTGTATTGGCACTGTCTAATTGCAGGTTTAATTAATTAACCTGTGATAGAGAGTGTCAAAATAGAAGGAGAATATTATCAGCATGACATGCCTGTTTATAGAAGAAGCTGTGCGCTAAAGTCTAGTAAGGTATATGTTGTAAATATACTGAGCTTAATGCTAAGGATATTGTGAGGAAGTAGGAGTATTTGCATAATTTTACTTTACATAAACTTGATTGTAGGAACCAGTTGTTTTCAACCCAAAGGGGGAACTGAGCATCATAGCTGTGGATTGTGGGATTAAATACAACCAGATCAGGTGTCTCTGTCAAAGAGGGGCAAAGGTCAAGGTCGTACCATGGGACTACAACTTCTCTAGTGAAGGTAAAGCATAGTTTCAAATAGTTATCATTAAATCACAATGGCTTCCTACATATAGTTATTTCCTTGAGACATTGAACATAAAAGTATGTACATGTCAAAGAGGGGCAAAGGTCAAGGTCGTACCATGGGACTACAACTTCTCTAGTGAAGGTAAAGCATAGTTTCAAATAGTTATCATTAAATCACAATGGCTTCCTACATATAGTTATTTCCTTGAGACATTGAACATAAAAGTATATACATGTATTATTTTTACAGAATATGATGGGTTGTTCATCAGTAATGGACCAGGAGACCCCCAGATGTGTACCACAACAATAGAAAACCTCAGGAGGGTGGTAAAAGAAGACAAATTTAAGCCTATATTTGGTATTTGTCTGGGACACCAACTCTTATCTCTAGCCATAGGGGCCAAAACTTTCAAAATGAAGTAAGTAAATCTGGCATTTATGATATGTGATTTAAAGCATCTCAATTAAGGTTTTTGTTGACCATGTTTCTTGTATATTCTTAGTTTGATCTGATAATATTGTTAACTGGTGTATCTTTTCTGAAAAATGAATCTGTAAATTGTTTCTTTTGTAGATATGGAAACAGGGGCCACAATTTACCTTGTATATATGATGAAACCATTCGGTGCTACATAACGACACAGAACCATGGGTTTGCTGTAGATGCCAGCACACTTCCAGCTGGCTGGAGCAGCCTGTTTACCAATGCTAATGACAAAACCAATGAAGGCATTGTACATGATACCAAACCATTCTTCAGGTACAAGCAATGCCAGTATCAATACAGACTTCATTTTGCAGCCAAACTACATATAGATAGAGCATTATAAGGAAAAAAAATGATTTCATCTGATTTTCTAATGGAAAGGAACTAGTATGCAATTAATTTTTTTCAGTACTCAGTTTCATCCAGAGCACATGGGAGGACCTAGAGACCTGGAGGGTCTCTTTGATGTATTTCTGAGTCAAGTCATACTTCACAAGAGAGGACAGAACAGGTACATTTATGAAACCTACAGTGTTACACTGAGGTTCCAGTACATGATCTTGACTGTATTCACAATGCTTAATTTAAGTTAAATTTTAGAAATCTGGAAAAGGTAGACTCCAGTACAAAATTAACCCTTAAAATAAATTTTTACTTTTTTAGCCCTACAGTGAAGGAAAAGCTGTACATGACACTACAAACTCCTGTTCATGTCCCCCCTGTTTCTAGTGTTAGACCGAGGAAGGTCCTAGTGCTGGGGTCAGGCGGTCTGTCAATAGGTCAGGCGGGAGAGTTTGATTACTCGGGATCACAGGCTGTTAAAGCTCTGAAGGAGGAGGGGATACAGACAATCCTAATTAATCCAAACATTGCTACAGTACAGACCTCTAAAGGACTGGCCGATAAGGTCTACTTCCTTCCCATCACGGCGGAGTATGTCACTCAGGTGAGGGGGTCCTCGAATTGATAAAAAAAGAATTTATTATGAACATGACACTTAAAATACTTCAAATCATTTATATACATGTACACATACAATACATGTACATTCTAACGTAATTGATTGCGTAAAAAGCATTTGGGTTTATGTAGCCTCTCCAGAGAGCTAAAGCTATGGAAGGAATTAGATTGAAAGCAGAAAAAACAAAATCAAGGCAGAGTATAAATCTTAACTTTTTATATGCCCGTCTTAAGACGGGACGTATTATGTTATAGGCTTCATGTCCGTCCGTCCGTCCGTCTGTCCGTCTGTCCATTCGTGTCCGGCTCATAACTTCAATACTATTAGGCCTAGGATTATCAAACTTTGTCAACTGATACTTCTTGGGTAGACGGTGTGTCGCGCACCAAAAGTAGGTCTTTCTGACCTTTAATAAAGATGCTATGGCCAAATATGGAAAAATCCTGTCCAGCTCATAACTAAAAAACTATGAGACCTAGAGCTATCAAACTTGGCAAAAGTATACATCTTAGGTAGAAGGTGTGTCGCGACCTATTTCAAGGTCACTGTGACCTTTAATTTTAGTAAATTTTTTTAAAAAACTAAGTTTTTTAAACTTTAAATTTCATAATCCTAGAAATGTAAAAAATAGAGTTGTATCCTTATTAAAAAGTATTAAATCAAGTAAAAACTTATTTTTTTCATCATATACTTTACAGCAATCTTTAACAAATGTCAATGTTAATGAGAGGAATTCAGTTTATCCCATGGGCATAATTATCAAGCTGGTCAAGAATAATTTTGATAGCAGAAAGTTGCATGTCAAATTAGAGAGAAATTAATGAGTTTAGTGTGAGGAGGTTACTAGTAGAGCATTGCTGTTATCTAAATCCCTTGAGTATTGGGCAAATGGACAGCCAGCCTAGCTGTTAGATTAAAAATAGCTCTTGTTGGCTAGCCTAAGTTTTAAAATGAATTTGATGAAAAGTAATTAAAACTTATTTGATGTTGCAAAATAAACTAAGAATCTGATATTATGTAATATTAATTAAAAAAAAAACTAATTTTAAGGGGTGGGGTTGAATCAGCATGCCTACTTGTCCATATGAATTAAATATAAAACCTGTCTGGCATTAAATCTAAAAAGAAATCATGGAGTGTTTTATATGTTTTAAAAGTGTTTTAGGATAAAAAGTGCAGATCCATTAATATTTAGGGAGTAATGAGTAGACAAGCATCCAGTCAAAGATTAATTAATGAGTTCAATGTAGGAAGGCTATCTGATCAAGCGCTGCCTTATATGTATCCTTTGGGGATTAGACAGAAGAACTGCTGGTCAGTTTATAGGCCGGTTTACACTATGCATCTTGACACATGCATCTTGGATGCATGTGTCAAGATTCACAGTGTAAAAGCCCCTTGTGTCAAATTAAATGGGTGTTGCATCTTGAACGATGGAATAGAACTTGTTCTATTCCGTACTTCAAGATGCATGGAACTGACCAATGAAAAGAAAGGTCAGAGTTGATATTGAATCATGAGCCTTATTTTTTTCATATACTTTCAAAAATAGCTTCCCAAGATACACAAAAACAGAAAATACTGATTAAAACTACAATTAGAAAAACTTATTTGATTATTATAATATAGAGGAGTTCTTGTTTTGGAATAAATATAAATTATATCTTCCAAGAACTATCAGAAAAAGGAAATTAAGAATGATTTGTTCAGCTAAAATAAATCTGGAAATGAAATTTAAAGGTATTGTTATTTTTTTAAGTAGAGAAATTTCATCTTTACAAAGTATTCTAAAGATGCATGCATCAAGACACATAGTGTTAATAAGAAGATGCATGAGGCAAAATTGAAGCATGAGTTTAGATGCATGTGTCAAGATGCATAGTGTAAACCGGCCTTAAAGCATATGTCATTTGATGGCCAGCCTTTTTTTTCAAAATTTATTTGGCATAGATTAAGTTGTTAAGACTAATTTGATATTGTTTATTATGATGGCCGGCATTTGACAAAGTCTAACACAAACAGTATAGAAATCTATCAGTTATGTAATATTTGTTATAATTATGCCTACAGCACAGAGGATGGATAAAGAAATATTTTTTTGAAAAATGGAAAAATCATGGAAATCTTAGAATCAGGGTTGAAGTGATTTTCTTGCACTCTAAACTGTTAAAGATAATTGTGTAATTTTTTGACGGGCGTATCATGCTGTGGCGTGGCACTTTATTTCTGCAAGTAATTGTTTATCCCAAGTACAAGAAATTTCCATTCTCTGAATGTTATACTTCTAAAGGTGATAAAGAACGAACGTCCTGATGGGATTCTGTTGACATTTGGTGGACAGACGGCCCTTAACTGTGGGGTACAGCTGACCAAGACAGGTGTTCTGGAGAAGTATGCAGTCCGAGTTCTAGGTACACAGGTAGCTTCCATCGAGTGGACAGAAGACAGAGAAGTGTTTGCCAACAAGATGTCAGAGATCGGGGAGTCTGTGGCTCCTAGTGAAGCAGCATACACAGTGGACCAGGTCAGAGAGTATTTCTGTACTATTCAAACATTTTTGTTTTTAAATTTATACTTCTTTTTTGAAATTTTTTAAAAATCATTGGAATGTATTGATTAAAAATATATTGGTGCATGTAATTTTGCTTTACGCATCCTGTAGCTGTGAAAAATATTCAAGAATTTGCTTTATGATTTTAGGCAGTACAAGCAGCTGAGCGACTAGGATACCCAGTCTTGGTCAGGGCAGCATTTGCATTGGGAGGATTAGGGTCGGGATTTGCAGACAACAAGGAACAGCTTCTGACTCTGGCTTCTGCAGCATTCGCTCACACAAGTCAGGTGTTGGTAGATAAATCTCTGAAAGGCTGGAAAGAAGTGGAGTATGAAGTGGTTAGAGATGCCTACGATAACTGTATTACAGTAAGTATTCAAGATATAATTACATGTTCTTCATACATCATGAATAAAAGAAACTATACTTGTATTACAGTTCTATAAAAGCTAAATACTTATAGAAAGATAGCAGAAATATCTGTTTAGTGACAGATCATTAGAGGTGATCACTTCCAAAAGTATTCTACTGTAATACATGTATTATAATTGATATTGTTACACTAGCACTACTTTCGTTTTATAACAGGTTTGTAACATGGAGAATGTGGACCCTCTGGGTATTCACACAGGAGAGTCTATAGTGGTGGCCCCCAGTCAGACCCTGACTAATGTGGAGTACAACATGCTGAGGGCCACCGCGATCAAGGTCATCAGGCACCTCCAGGTCGTGGGAGAATGTAACATACAGTATGCACTAAATCCAGAGTCCAAAGAGGCAAGTTCTTATCATTGTTTTAAAATGTGTTAAATTCTGCATTTACATGTATTTGAATACGTGGCATTTTGTAAAGCAATTTTTGATAAGGTTTTGATGTACGTATTTCTATCTCCTTCAGTATTACATTATTGAGGTAAATGCTCGGCTGTCCAGAAGCTCTGCCCTGGCCAGTAAGGCCACAGGTTACCCCCTGGCTTATGTTGCGGCTAAATTGGCCCTGGGGATTCCCCTGCCTGAACTGAGGAACTCTGTCACAAACTCCAAGGAGAATTCCACAACTGCCTGCTTTGAACCAAGTCTGGACTACTGTGTGGTCAAAATTCCAAGATGGGATCTTAAGAAGTTTTCTCGAGTTTCGACTAAGGTATAGTTAAATGAAAGAATATTTCTTGTGTTTTGGTCCTTTTCTTGAACAATGTGATATATATTGGCATGTATTTGGAGAGATGATTAAACAGATAATTTTAGTACCACCCTCATGCTTTTTCTTCCTTTATATTTGCTCTAGTGTCGTAAAAAAGCATGAGTGAGTAATTACTGGGTGATGAAGGAAGACTTTATATGTTTGAGAATTTTAGTGACTATCAAATGTTTGTGTTTGTATGCTGCACATAGAATAGTCTTAAGAATTTCTTGTAGATAGTGCATTAAAAGAAGTATGTTTTGTGAAATATCTTTATGGTGTTTGTGTAGTAAATAAGGAATTTTTTTCTATAAGTCCATATTAAAACTTGTCAAAGCATACAAAAAAAATGACCTCTGCTCCCTTTCCTAGATTGGAAGTTCTATGAAGAGTGTAGGAGAAGTGATGGCCATAGGAAGGCGGTTTGAGGAGGCAGTCCAGAAGGCACTAAGAATGATGGATCAAAGTGTCACTGGATTCGACCCCTACAACATAGAAGTATCTGACGTGGTGAGTATTAATAGAAGCAAATGGACTGTGATACTTTGACTCCCGAAAGCTCTGTCAGGGTTGTGTTGTGTATGAATATTTATGTTGATCTTATTAAATAGGAACTACGAGAGCCCACAGATGAGCGTATCTTCGTGGTGGCAGGTGCTCTGAAGCAGGGCTACAGTGTAGATAAACTGTATGAACTGACCAAGATTGACAGGTGGTTTCTACATAAGTTCAAGAACATCACAGACTGCATGTCAGGACTGGAAAAATTCAAACACAAGGTTAGATGTCTAAGAATATTTTTGTTCAGGATAATTCTTTGAACAAATTGTTCTTTTGATGAACGGGTATATTCATTGGAATTTTACAACTTTTCATAGATGAGCAGCATTCCAAAAAGAGTTCTGCTTGAAGCAAAGAAGCTGGGGTTTTGTGATGAACAAATTGCCAAGGCTGTGGAAAGGTATGCTTGTTGTACAAACTAAATGTGCACCTTACTTTTTATGAAAAAATTAATAATATTTCAAGGTATTTAAATTCCAAATCTTTGATAAAATTTGCAAGTACTCTGATTTCAGCACAGAAATGGTGGTTCGCAAGAAGCGTTACGAATATGAAATTCACCCCTGCGTGAAGCAGATTGACACCGTGGCTGCTGAATGGCCAGCGCAGACTAACTACCTGTATCTGACGTACAACGGATCTGAGAATGACGTCTCATTTCCTGGAGGCTACATCATGGTTATAGGGTCCGGGGTCTACAGGATAGGAAGTAGTGTGGAGTTTGACTGGTGTGCCGTCAACTGTATTAGGAGTCTAAGAGAGGTCAGGGTCAAGTCTTTTATTGCAATTATTTATATAATGAGTGTCTTTTGTTGAATATTTGAAAGCTGGAAATGTGGAAAAAAATAGTTTTTGCAAAGTTCATTCATTTTGTCTCCTGTGTTACAGATGGGATACAAGACCATTATGGTGAATTATAACCCAGAGACAGTCAGCACAGATTATGATATGTGTGATAGACTCTACTTCGATGAAATCTCATTTGAAGTAAGTGCTAACTTAAAATTTTGATGTACAATGTAGATTTAATTTTTCTATCGATGATACATACTATGTGAGGTCCTATTTTTACTTTGTACTTAGGTATTGTTTGCGATCATGTATGTTTAATGTTTTCAGACTGTTATGGATATTTACAACTTGGAGAATCCTGAGGGAATCATTTTGTCTGTTGGTGGACAGCTGCCCAACAACATAGCGATGCAACTTCACAGACAACAGGTAGATACTACTGCATGCACTAAATTCTTACATTCAAGCTTCCTCTAAAGCTGAAATAATACATTTTAGCGTAAGTGTCTTAAACTGTGAACATTAAAAGTGGATATATTAAGTAGAGAAATATTTTCAGGCCCGGATTTTGGGTACATCTCCAGAGAGCATTGACAATGCTGAGAATCGGTTCAAATTTTCTCGTATGTTGGACAACATGGGGATCCATCAACCATTATGGAAGGAATTATCCACTGTGGAGGTAATATCTTGCAAATAGCTGTAGAAGGTGTAGGTAAACATGATGATTATTGATACATGTATTATGTGTAGTAATACAAGAAATATAAGTATGGAAAGTCTCATTTTTAGACAAGTTTAGAACTGTTCTGTAATAACAAAATATCATTTCAAAACTTTTCATTGCTAGGCAGCCAAGGATTTCTGTAAGGAGGTGGGATTTCCCTGTCTGGTTCGTCCCTCGTACGTTCTCAGTGGGGCGGCCATGAACGTGGCTCATTCTGACAAAGACTTGGAGGATTACCTCAGTCAGGCTAGTGCGGTATCGAAGGAGCATCCTGTCGTCATCTCCAAGTTTATTCTGGAGGCCAAGGTAAGGAACTGTCTACAGCATTGACATGAGGACCCCTGTCTGTATCGTCGACATGCTGATCATGTGTTGAAATGAAGACCCCTGTTTCTATCGTCGACATGCTGATCATGTGTTGTAAATATACTCAGAAAAAATTTTACTTGATTTTGAAAGATATCATTTATTGAAGTTCATGTCTGGATTAATACTGATGAAGATTTTCATGTCAAGTAGTGTAAAGTGATTGTAATGTGCTAAGTAGATTGTTTGTTCTGTAGGAGATAGACGTGGATGCGGTTGCTGCTGATGGTGAAGTGATTTGTATGGCTGTGTCAGAACATGTGGAGAATGCTGGGGTCCACTCGGGGGATGCCACACTTGTGACTCCACCGCAGGATCTCAACGAGGAAACCCTGGCTAAGATAAGGGTCATCTGCTGCGCTATAGGCCGAGCATTAGAGGTCACGGGACCGTTCAATCTTCAACTTATTGCCAAGGTAATACTCGCACGATGATAAAATCTATGACTGAAATACATGTATTTTACTAGTTATTCTTAAAATTTACATGCTGCATTATACAATGTAACTTGATGTATTTTCAGGATAACCAATTAAAGGTCATTGAGTGCAATGTTAGAGTTTCCAGATCATTCCCATTTGTATCCAAGACTTTAGACCATGATTTTATTGCCACGGCAACAAGAGTGATCATGGGAGAAGTGGTGGATCCAATAAATGTGCTCTATGGATGTGGAAGAGTTGGGGTCAAGGTCAGACTCCACTTATCACTTTGATCTTTAAAGTATATTATATGATGGAAAAAGACTGGAATTTATTGTTAATTTCTGAGTGTATAATAGTTTGAAATTTCTTGCCTTGTGAAGTCCTGTATATTGGGGTGAAAAAAAGGTTGCATGTAAATTGTCTTATTTCAGGTTCCTGTATTTTCCTTCTCTCGGCTACATGGAGCTGATGTGTTGCTAGGTGTAGAAATGTCCAGCACTGGGGAGGTGGCCTGCTTTGGAGAAAATCGATACGAGGCTTACCTCAAGGCCATCATCAGCACGGGATTTAAGATTCCTAAAAAGAACATACTGCTGTCTATAGGGAGCTTTAAGGTAGGTAGTGGTGTTTTCGAAATTTACTGTACATGGAAAATCTTTATGTAATTCATTTGTGGTTCTTTAAGTTAAACAGATATTAATATAGTGCTCTGGACAATCAAGTTTGATTTTTTTATACGCCCGTCTTAAGACGTGACGTATTATGTTATAGGCTTCGTGTCCGTCCGTCTGTTAGCTTTTATTGTGTCCGGCTCATAACTTTAATACTATAAGGCCTAGAGTTATCAAACTTTGTCAGCTGATACATCTTGGGTAGAAGGTGTGTCGCGTACAAAAAGTAGGTCACTCTGACCTTTAATAAAGATGCTATAGCCAAATATGGAAAAATCCTGTCCGGCTCATAACTAGAAAACTATGAGACCTAGAGCTTTCAAACTTGGCAAAAGTATACAGCTAAAGTAGAGGGTGTGTCGCGGCCTATTTCAAGGTCACTGTGACCTTTAATTTAAGTGATTTTTTTTAAAAAACTAAGTCTTTTAAATTTTAAATTTCATAATCCTAAAAAATGTAAAAATATAGTTGTATCCTTATTAAAAAATGTTAAATTAAGTAAAAACTTATTTTTTCATTATATACTTTACAGCAAGGCCATCCTTAAAAAAATTCTTTTTTGCGGTAAGGCCAGATAAAATTAATCTTTAGATTCTCATCCCCACCCGCCCCTCTCAAAATGTCCCGCCCCGGAGTTTTTTATTTTGATTTTTGGGTGTTATTAAAGGCATTTTCATGTATTTTTATTCAGTAAGAATTTGGGTGAAGTTAAGAGTTATCTCCCGTCTGTATTCAAAGTCGCGTGTCGCTATTTATAGCAAAAGAGCCATGTGAAGAATGGAGAAAAATCGGAAATAAAATCAGTTTAAATATGTAAGGAAAAGATTATTTGTCAGTATAGAGAAGGCAGAGAAAAAATAATAGCATAAACACATCTAGATACTATCACTGGCATTCATGAGCACGTTTTTAAAGATTTTGGAAAATGACACCTGGTCAAGTTTAAACGATCTCCAACTGTGTGTGATTTTGATTTGAAAAAAAAAAAACATCGTAGGCAGGCTTTAGAGAATGTTTAGTGCTAAGAAAATGTTAAATATCAAACCTGTTGAGACGTCATGCATACAAAATTTATTGATATCAGAACCCCACCTCATTTTGTTTTGTGTGTGCCGTACGTATATGTGTACTTGATAATTTGTTAATTAACAATAAATATCTAATAATTTAAGCAAGAATTTTCTTTAAAATATTTAAAAGAATATAAAAAAAATAAAATCTATTCATACTGGCATTAACATAATGAAAAAATGTGTACAAAGAGTCCATGTTTTGTTAATACTTACAATTTAACAATTATAAAATATAAAAAATAAAATCCGCCCACCCGCCCTAATTTTTTAGCAAATAAGGATGAGAATCTAAAGATTAATTTTACCTGGCCTAACGCGCCTCATCATTTTAGGTGTGGGTAGGTAGGTAGGCTTATTTTTTTTTTTTTGAGACCAAAAGTCAGAAATAAATTTCGATTATTTAGACGTATTAACTATGTCTTAGATTTCACTTTAAGTTACTAATCAAACAAGAAAATTAAGGCATTCTTAATGAATCCAATCTTTTATTGTTCAAATATCAGAACACATCAGTTCTTTTTTAAAAACGGCGTAGGTGCAATGGAGACGTAAAAAAATGTCAATCGGATAAAAATAGAAAATGGATACGTAAAAAAAGAAAAAAAATTTTTGAACCTATAAAAAAAATCCAGTAGGGTGGATTTTGGTGAGTCGGTCGCGTTACCGCAAAAAAACAATTTTTTAAGGATGGCCCAATCTGTAACAAATGTTTATGCTTTGAGAGGAATTCAGTTTGTCCCATGGGCATAATTATCAAGCACTGGTCAAGAAGAATTTTGATAGCAGAAACTTGCATGTCAAATTAGAGAGAAATTAATGAGTTTATTGTCAGGAGCTAAGAGCATCTCTAGATCTGATGCAGCTGTTATCTTAATTTATCTCTTGGGAGTTGGGCAAAAAGAAATGGCCTCATAGTTGCTTGTGTTAATTAAGAGTGTTTGATGGCTAGTCCAGATAAAGATCTTCCAATTGGTGTAATGTAATTAAAACAAATTTATGTTTTAGTGTATGATTAAAACTAAATTAGTTATTGTATAATAATATTATTAAAACTAATTATGCAAGTGCATAGGAAAAAAAAAATATATTTCAATTTTTACATATTTGCAACAAATTGCAGTCATGTCTCACTTAGAATTTTATAGTCTGAAGAAATTATAATTTATGTTTGATTTTTTTTTATTAAACTGTAGCATTTCTATTATTTCATAAAATATGCAATAAACAATTTAAGTTTAAGTAAGCTGCAGATGGATATTTGTTATGCTCTAACACAACCAGTTTAGAGTTATATGATGTATTTGTTATAATCAATCCCTAAACTGCAAGTTTCTTAGAGATGTATGATAAGAAATGGAAATTAGATCATTGAAATCTGTGTCAGTCTGTTAATCAAGGCTACCTGATTTTCTTGCATCCTAACCAATTTATGATTATTGAACAATATTTGACGGGCGTATCATGCTGTGGCGGGGCACTTTATTTAAATTTAAAGTGTCATTACATTACTTAACAAAATCAAATAAATACGATAAGTAATATTTTAGAACAAAAAATGAGGATTATACAATTTGTATACTAAATGTAGAGAAATGTATATTTGTTTATGACTTATCCTGTTCAAGACTGTAAAATCTGTATTTATAAATTTTTTAGGACAAAAAAGAAATACTTCCTTCAGTTAGAAGTCTTCAGAACATGGGATATAACTTGTATGCCAGCATGGGGACAGCTGATTTCTACAATGAACATGGATTAAAGGTAAAATTACAATTTCTGGCCCAGTAGTTAAGCCACGTCATTGTCAATTTCTATGCTAATTTGGGTTAACACTAGGAAAGTTGAGAAGAGGGAAAGGTAATGTTCTGTAATAAAGGAATTGATATCATCTTTAGGTAAACCCTGTAGACTGGCCGTATGAAGACACAGGGGACCACAAGAAGAATGGTGGGGAGCAGAGGACGATCGCTGACTATCTGTCTGACAACATGTTTGATCTTGTGATCAATCTCCCTCTGAGGAATTCTGGGTCCTATCGAGCCTCATCTTTTGTTACCCAGGGTTACAAGACCCGCAGAATGGCAGTGGACTACTCCGTACCACTGATAACGGATATCAAATGTTCAAAACTACTCATAGAGGTAAATCCTAAATTTTGGTCATTTTAGGATAAGTATTTTGCTAAAGGGAAGTAAATCTTAATTATGGTTGTAAAATATTGATTTGAAGACTGTTTTATTCTGTCTATTCATTGCAGTCCATGAGAAGACTAAATGGAGCAGCCCCACCACTGAAAACCCATGTAGACTGTATATCCTCACACAGAGTGGTCAGGCTACCAGGTAATTAGAGGGGGAAAAGGCATTATGATCAGAAGCGATTATTACAGTCTTCAATTAATGCACAAGTTTAACTTCATAATTAATAAAGTTCTACCTTAGAAGAAAAATTGGAACATTGCCACTGAATCTAGGCAACTCTAGCAATGACAAGAGTTCTGTTCAAGTTTTTATCAATGTTCATAAGTCTTCAAGAACATCATCTTAAGCTCTCAGTAACTGTCACTGTGACTTGCTTTGTTTTGTTGTAGATTTAATAACTTTGCTGTGTTGTAGGTTTTATTGATGTTCATGTCCACGTGAGGGAGCCAGGAGCCACCCATAAGGAGGACTGGTCGAGCGCCACCTCGGCGGCCCTGGCTGGTGGTGTCACTATGATCCTGGCCATGCCCAACACTAATCCACCGACAGTGGACGAGGCCGCTCTTACTCTGACACAGAAGGTTTGTCCTCTCCTCATGTTTCTTCTCACTGACAGATTTCCTTAATATCATTTTAGATAAAAAAAAACTTTTGAATTCTTAGTTTTGAAATGAAATTGAATGTTGATTTATGATTGAGTTTTTTTCTGTACTACACAGCTGGCCAGACTTGGAGCTCGGTGTGATTATGGAATCTTCTTGGGTGCCAGCAGTGATAACTACTCCACTCTCCCTCAGATTTCATCCAAAGCTTGTGCTTTAAAGATGTACCTGAATGAGACCTTCACTACTCTGAAACTAAATGATATTTCTGTATGGATGAAGGTAAATGTTCTTTATTTTCATCCAGTAAGCTGAACAGATTTTAAATGGTTACAACAAAAAGGCCTTTTCATTTCTGTTTTAAAAAAATGCATGCATGATTTTCTTATTTGTCAGCATTTTGAACACTGGCCTAAACACATGCCAATCTGTGCTCATGCTGAGGGAACCCACACAGCAGCCATTATCCTCCTGTCTGAGCTGTACAAAAGGCATGTCCATATCTGTCATGTGGCTAGAAAGGAAGAGGTATGCAACCAAGTTGAAATTTTATAGTGCATGTATATTGTCTTCTAGCATTTAGAGTTGGAACTTGAAAATATGGCAATGAGAACAGTTCTTGCACATTAATTTTATTTTCTTTCAGATTTTAATTATAAAAGCTGCTAAAGAGAAAGGATTATCTGTAACTTGTGAAGCTGCTCCCCATCACCTTTTCTTGACCTCTGATGATCTTGACAGGATAGGTCATGGTCAGGGTCAAGTCAGGCCATGTCTGGTGACCATGGAGGATCAGGAGGCTTTATGGGACAATATTGACATCATCGATTGCTTTGCTACAGACCATGGTAGGATAAGTTGGTCTGGTTTTGAATAAGTTTCAATGTTGTGATTGTAAATACTGTAAAATTAATTTAAAAAATCAAATATGATATTGTTTAAAGGAGATCAAGTCATCTTTTATGATTCTAGGTGTATGGTACACTGAGGAATTTTACCTGAACTCTAAAGTTTCTAAATGAATATCCTCTGTTTTAGCCCCACATGCAGTGGAGGAGAAGAAAAGTGCTAAACCCCCACCTGGGTTCCCTGGCTTAGAGACCATGCTTCCATTACTTTTGACAGCTGTTCATGATGGCAGGTTAACCATCGAGGTAATGCTGCACCTTACTTGTAGCTCACTATGAAGTCACTTATTTTCATGAGGATTTGATTTGAGGCACTGTACTTATATGCATACTTGTGTGCATGTTAAATTTTAGTCTATGGTTAAAACAATATAAAACATGTTAGGACAGTACAACACGTGAAGGAGGAAACAAAAATCTGTCGAATGATGAAAATTTTCACAGACCTGTCCTGAAATTCTTTGTTGAGGAATTTATCTGATGACAGATTAAATTGTTTTCTAACTTCTGAGAACCATTAATTTTTTCCAGCAAGGCTGTCAAATTTCCCTGAAATGAAAATTGTGATTCAAATGTTTGGTTCAGTTCTAATTTTCCTGATTTTAATTTGGCTTTTGTTTGAATATTATGAATCTGTTTCACCAAAAAGAAAACAAAAACAAAACAAATGTGGACTTGAAAACTGATGGCAATGAAAGTGAAACATGTACTGTGAAAAAAAGAATTTTTGTGGTGTTTTAGTTTTTCTTTTTAATGATTTTAGGCATGGAGAGATCCACAAATTTACAGCCACCGTGAAATTTAAAATATCATGCATCATTACTAAACATTCTCCAACCACGAAAATGAAGTCCTCATAAACCAATATTTTTCCATTAACCTTGAAAATTTGATTGTAAAGTATTTGTTTAATTATGATTAAAATAATCTGAATTGAAAGTGGGTAATAAATCAGGCATATGTCAAGGACTATCTTATTTTGTACAGGACTTGATTGCCAGACTTCATACAAATCCCAAGAGAATCTTCAATTTACCAGACCAGCCGGATACCTATATAGAGGTAGATTTAGAACATGAGTGGACAATTCCTGATCACATGACCTTCTCTAAATCAAAATGGACTCCATTTGCTGGTATGAAGGTTGTTGGCAAAGTCATGAGGACAGTTTTAAGAGGAGAGGTGGCCTACATTGAAAATGAGGTAAACAAAGAATTCAGAAAGGGCTTTTTTATGTTATTGACAAATAAAATTGTATGAATAAAATGTATTGTTTGTCTAATTAAAATCCTGGCTACTTTTAACCAGGTGCTGGTTCCTAAAGGTTTTGGGTTGGACATCAGAAGTTATACCTTACAAAGTTCTGCCCCAGCAGGATCAGGTGACCAGCTTCAGGTCCAGATTCCCCCGATAAGTTATGCTGTATCCTCCCAACCCTCGTCTGAACCCTCCAGTCCCCGGAAACTGACCCAGTCTCAGCTATCTGACAGACCAAGACCACGGGCAATGGAACAAGGCTATGGTAAATATACGCTGATGTACAGTATAAACTTAAGACCTTTGTAAAGAGGATGTTTAGACCTGTTTGTTTGCGCTGTTTTTCTTCTATTCAATCAATATCCTTATTCTTTCTCAAGCAGCTGTTCATGAACCTGCATCTGAAGCAGTCAAAGCAGATCAGGGTATTTTATGTAGCTGTTTATATGTAGTAGTCAACTGCATGGCTTAACGTACTACATGTACATGTATGTTTATATTGCACATTTTTATGATCGGGGGCATATTATTTTTAGTCTTTTCTTTATACAACTTGCACCTCAGCCCAAAATTTTTATTGGTCTGAGACACGTATGTGGTTCATGATCAGGATCAAGACTTCATTATGGGTCAAAATTATAACAATGGGGATATCCTGTTTCACTAAGCAACTTTTTAAACAGTATTGGGAAAACGAGAGCTTTTGAATTACAAAAAAACAAGAACGATGAGTTAGTAAAGTATTGTATATAGATATTTTCTTATTGCATGAAGAGTACTAACTGTTGTGGTGGAAATATTGGTGAAAAATGTTATTGTTCCACTATGTTGTAGTTGGTATATTGTAAATCTGGGAAACTACTATTGTAGTTAGTATATTGTAAATCTGGGTAATTACTAATCTTTCAGTGGAAGACGGAGAATATGCACAATGTATGAACTAGAAATACAGTTCAGGTACACTTGTGTAATAAACCTGTACTAATCACAAAAGGAATTCTAATGCTTTGGCTTGACTAACAAGGAAAGAGGTGCTGAAAGATGTACAGAAATGGAAATATTTTTATTCACTCTCTCAAATTTATTTTGATATTTTGTAATATTTTTATGCCTGCAGATGTTCGGGACGGAGCTTATCTGGCCCAGGGTCCTCATGGAATCCCTCAGCCCCCAGCTCTGCCATTCTACACACAGGGAGTTACAGGGCATCATATACTGACAGTGAAGAGCTTCACCAAAGAGCAGGTAACTACACATGTGCTAATTTTATTCCAAGTGAGCAATTTTCTGCATTCTTCAAATAATTGATTACTAGTCATTTTCAAGGTACACTTATGGTTCAGGATAGAAAAATGGGAAATCTCGATTTATTTTCAAGCAAACATGAACAAATGGAATATAATTTTTTTTTTCAGCTACATACCTTGTTTAACTTGGCCCATCAATTTAGGATAGCAGTATTGAGGGACCGGCCTCTAGATTACATTCTTAAGGTAAAATATTTAAATTTGTTAAATTAACAACACACTTACTCTGAAGTGCAAGGGATGAACATTTTGATTCATTAAATGCATAGGTCATTATGTCCGTTAGGTACATGGAATAGAATATACTTTGTTGTAAGTGTGAAGTCACAACTGTGTTATACTATATATATTTTAGAGTGTGGTTTTATATATTCTTGATCTTGATCTTTGATTTTAACAGGGTAAGGTGATGGCGTCCATGTTCTTTGAGGTCAGCACTAGGACCAGCTGCTCGTTTTCTGCAGCGATGCAGAGACTTGGGGGGAGTGTGGTCAGTCTGGACTCCTCCATGTCCTCCTTACAGAAAGGGGAGTCCTTCAGCGGTCAGTGAAACTAGACATTTAAAAAAAAAGTAATAGGGATGGGTATCGCCAAAAATTTTATCGCGATATATCAAAATATCACGATAATATCAATTTTTAAAAGCAGTTTTTACAATGATTTTATATGAAAAGTCATTATTTCTCTAAAAATATGCTAAAAAAACAAAATTTTACTTTCTTGAAATTTTTATGTATATAAAATCAATTATGTATATTCACTTTGCAAATTTTTTAATTGTAATTTGAAAGTCCAAATAAATGAATAATTTCTGAAAAGGACTTTGATGGACATATACTTGTACAATCTAATTTGATTCTTTTTCTCTCTGTAGTGCTTCTTTGCAAATAATCACACGAGTCCAATGAAAAGGACTGTTTTTTTCTGTTTCAGACTCTGTAATGATGATGTCGGGATATTCTGATGTGGTTGTTATCCGACACCCAACTCCTGGTGTCATGACGGTAAGAAATTCTAAAGACCGAGTTAATGGTTATTATACATATGAATATCGCATTTCTTTTAGTTCTTATATTATAAAAGAAGATATTTTTCAGGAGGCAGTGAAGTTGTGCATGAAACTTTTTCTGCATTTTACTGCTGGTTCTCTCTCTATGAGAGATTAGATTTAAAATGATATACTAGATAACTTTTCCATGCATTTCATAGTTAATAATTTGAGCAGTAATGATTAATTATTTCTGTGCTTGAATAATCTCTGTGAGAACACAAGCAATGCTTTGAATGAACTGCTCCTTAAAAACTTTCTCCCTTTAAGTAATAACATTTTTAAAAAAAACTTTGTATCTCTTAATTTTCCATTTGCTTTAAAATAATTTTTCCAATTTAAATATAATGATGAATCTATTGTTTTTTTTTAAATTTAAGCTTAAATTTATGCCACCAGTAAAAGGTGATTAGCTTGATGTACTCAATAGAACATTAACTTGATCCAAAGAGTCTTATCATGTTGCGTTGACGGGTATGGATCATCAGATCAAAGAATACACAGTGTCAAGTTTGATCTGATGATCTGCAGCTGTCAACAAGATGTGATACAGCTCTTCAGATGGTCAGAAATTCTTACGACTGGGTTTATACATATGGATATCGTAATTTTTTTATTCCCTGCATTGTAATTTTTTTTCAGGAGGCAGTGAAGTTGTGTAGGAAACCTATCATTAATGCAGGGGATGGAGTGGGGGAACATCCAACTCAGGCATTGCTAGATGTGTTTACCATCCGAGAGGAGATAGGGACAGTCAACGGACTGACTGTAAGTTCTACTCCAGAAAAGACTCGCAGTAACAAAGCAGGATAAATGTTTATAAGCTTACTTTCAACATTTTTTTCAGTGATCTCAAACTAAATGATTACTGGAGTGTATACAGACATCTACATTGGAATGATGAGAATTTCACAGACCTGTCCTGATAAATTTATATCTGAAGAGGGAATAATTTTCTGACCAACTGTAGATGTCCAAACTTAATCATAAGACAGAGAATCTAAAATATCAAACTAATTTTGAATTATTATGTGTATACACTTAAACTGTGTATGTGTAGATAACTATGGTTGGAGATCTGAAGAACGGTCGCACCGTCCATTCCCTGGCTCGACTTCTGACACAGTATAGGGTCAATATCCGCTACGTGTCTCCTGATTCGCTGAAGATGCCCGATGATGTCAAAGAAGACGTGGCAGCAAGAGGAATATCACAGGCAAGCTAGTCCATCTGTTGTTTGTCTGGTTTAAACATTTAGGAAAATTTGTTCAAAGCTATGATAGCACTGTAGTTCTACTTATAAATGTACTTGTTGGCTATGTAAAATTTTATTCATGGTACAAAAATGTGGAAGAAAAAACTTGTGTTGTTACTGAGAAAACAAAATCTGTTGAATGATGAAAATTTTCACAGACCTGTCCTGAAATTCTGTGTTGAGGAATTTATCTGATGACAGATTAAATAGTTTTAAAATTCTGAGAACCATTTACTTTCAAGTATTCTTTACAAGATATTAGCTGCAGTTCAAGTTTTTAGCTCACCTGAGCCGAAGGCTCAAGTGAGCTTTTCTGATCACATTTTGTCCGTCCGTCCGTCTGTCTGTCCGTCCGTCTGTAAACTTTTCACATTTTCGACTTCTTCTCAAGAACCACTGGGCCAATTTTGACCAAACTTGGTACAAAGCATCCTTGGGTGAAGGGGAATTTAAATTGTTAAAATGAAGGGACACATCCCCTCGCAAGGGGAGATAATCAAGAAAAGAGAAAAATAGGGTTGTGTCATTAAAAAATCTTCTCAAGAACCACTGGGCCAGAAAAGCTGAAACTTATGTTGAAGCATCCTGGTATAGTGTAGATTCTAAATTGTTCAAATCATGACCCCCAGGGAAAGGGCGGGGCCACAATGGGGTATCAAAGTTTTATATAGAAATATATAGGAAAAATCTTTGAAAATCTTCTTCTCAAGAACCACTGGGCCAGAAAAGCTGAAACTTATATGGAAGCATCCTGGTGTAGTGTAGATTCTAAATTGTTCAAATCATGACCCCCGGGGGAAGGGCGGGGCCACAATGGGGTATCAAAGTTTTACATAGAAATATATAGGAAAAATCTTTGAAAATCTTCTTCTCAAGAACCACTGGGCCAGAAAAGCTGAAACTTATGTGGAAGCATCCTGGTGTAGTGTAGATTCTAAATTGTTTAAATCATGACCCCCGGGGGAAGGGCAGGGCCACAATGGGGTATCAAAGTTTTACATAGAAATATATAGGAAAAATCTTTGAAAATCTTCTTCTCAAGAACCACTGGGCCAGAAAAGCTGAAACTTATGTGGAAGCATACTGGTATAATGTAGATTCTAAATTGTTCAAATAATGACCCCCGGGGAAAGGGCGGGGCCACAATGGGGAATCAAAGTTTTATATAGAAATATATAGGAAAAATCTTTGAAAATCTTCTTCTCAAGAACCACGGGGCCAGAAAAAGTGAAGCTTATGTGGAAGCATTCTGGGGTAGTGTAAATTCTAAATTGTAGGAATCATGACCCCCGGGGGAAGGGCGGGGCCATTATAGGGGAATCAAAGTTTTACATAGAAATATATAGGAAAAATCTTTGAAAATCTTCTTCTCAGGAACCACTGGGCCAAAAAAGCTGAAACATATGTGCCCATGGAAGGATCATGGGGTAGTGTAGATTTCAAAATGTCTAAATTATGATCAGTGGGGTAGGGTGGGGATGCATTATGTATAACAAGGAGAGGACGTTCTAAGTTTTTAAGAACTTGTGTCCAATCCTTTTGTTATAACATCAAAACAATAAAATATGTTCAAATCAAATCAAATCAACAAGGGGGAAATCTGGTAAAGAACAGAATGGTCAAAGCTTCTCAGGTGAGCGATGTGGCCCATGGGCCTCTTGTTGGTTAAGTTCCAATTTTTTTAATATCAAAAGACCCTTCACGTTAAGTGTGGTACTATTTTTTGCGGGAAAAAAGATTATACTGTAAAATCAATATTTTTGTGGCTTTAGGAAAACCTTATTTTATGGGGATTTGATTTTGTGGAGGAAGAATTGTTGAGTAGTTATGGCCTTATTTTAAAGTTAAATAGTAAATCATTCAAGTTTTTTTTAGGAGGAATCAACTGCATTAGAAGATTTCCTGTCTGACACAGACGTTTTATACATGACTCGCATCCAGAAGGAAAGGTTCAGCAGTGAGGAAGAGTACAAAAAGGTTAGTGTTCATAAGGTCATGTGAGTGCAGAAAGGTGAGCTAAAATTTAATGATCTTAGAATCAATGAAGAATTTTCAAAATAAAGCAAGTTTGATTTCATCTGTCAGAATCGTAAGCGGGGATGAATACTGTATGCATGCAATTGTCAGGTAGGTTTTACTGTGTGCATACTTTTAGATAAAACAAATAATTAACACTGGACTTGAATCTCCAATTTCAATTTAACCACGCTTGAAGCAGCATCATCGTTTTGCTTTATTTTGCTTGAATTATTGCACATGGATATATAGGTATCAGCATCTTTTGAAATTTAAAATATAGAAACCTTAGCTACATGTATTTTGGATTTCTCTTTTGGTTTCTTTATGAAAAATTATATTGCTGATTAGATTTAAAATGCAAACTTAGTTTTTATATACACTTCAATAATTATTGGATTGAGCAGTAATGATTCATTATTCTGTGCTTGAATAATCTGTGTGAGAACACAAGCAATGCTTTGAATGAACTGCTCCTTAAAACCTTTCTCCCTTTAAATAATAACACATAAATATCTCTTATTTTTCTATTTTAAAAAAATTGTTTGTAAATAGTTTTTATACGCCCGTCTTAAGACGGGACGTATTATGTTATAGGCTTCATGTCCGTCCGTCCGTCTGTCCGTCTGTCCATTCGTGTCCGGCTCATAACTTCAATACTATTAGGCCTAGGATTATCAAACTTTGTCGACTGATACTTCTTGGGTAGACGGTGTGTCGCGCACAAAAAGTAGGTCGCTCTGACCTTTAATAAAGATGATGGCCAAATATGGAAAAATCCTGTCCGGCTCATAACTAGAAAACTATTAGACCTAGAGCTATCAAACTTGGCAAAAGTATACATCTTAGGTAGAAGGTGTGTCGCGACCTATTTCAAGGTCACTGTGACCTTTAATTTTAGCGAAATTTTTAAAAAAACTAAGTTTTTTAAATTTTAAATTTCATAACCCTAAAAATATAAAAAATAGAGTTGTATCCTTATTAAAAAGTATTAAATCAAGTAAAAACTTATTTTTTTCATCATATACTTTACAGGAATCTTAAGCAAATTTCAATGTTAATGAGAGGAATTCAGTTTGGGCATAATTATCAAGCACTGGTCAAGAAGAATTTTGATAGCAGAAAGTTGCATGTCAAATTAGAGAGAAATTAATGAGTTTAGTGTGAGGAGGTAACTAGTAGAGCATTGGTGTTATCAATATCCCTTGGGTATTGGGCAAATGGACAGCCAGCCTAGCTGTTAGATTAAAAATAGCTCTTGTTGGCTAGCCTAAGTTTTAAAATGAATTTGATGAAAAGTAATTAAAACTTATTTGATAATGCATAGTAAACCAATAATCTGATATTATATAATATTAATTAATTAAAAACTAATTTTATGGGGTGGGGTTGAATCAGCATGCCTACTTGTCCATATGAATTAAATATAAAACCTGTCTGGCATTAAATCTAAAAAGAAATCATGAAGTATTTTATATGTTTTAAAAGTGTTTTAGGATAAAAAGTGCAGATCCATTAATATTTAGGGAGTAATGAGTAGACGAGCATCCTGTCAAAGATTAATTAATGAATTCAATGTAGGAAGGCTATCTGATCAAGTGCTGCCTTATCTGTATCCTTTGGGGATTAGACAGAAGAACTGCTGGTCAGTTTATAGCATATGTCATTTGATGGCCAGCCTTTCTTTTCAAAATTAATTTGGCATAGATTAAGTTGTTAAGACTAATTTGATATTGTTTATTATGATGGCCGGCATTTGACAAAGTCTTAACACAAACAGTATAGAAATCTATCAGTTATCTAATATTTGTTATAATTATGCCTACAGCACAGGGGATGGATAAAGAAATATTTTTTTAAAAAATGGAAAAATCATGGAAATCTTAGAATCAAGGTTGACGGTGATTTTCTTGCACTCTTAACTGTTAAAGATAATTGTGTAATTTTTTGACGGGCGTATCATGCTGTGGCGTGGCACTTTATTCAAACATAAATTTGATTATGAATTTTTACTGAAGCTCAAATTGAGGCCAGCATTTAATATTGGCTTGTTTGATGTACTCAAATTGAACCACTGAAATCACCGAATCCCATTTTTTTCCCCAACTAGTTTTTTTGTTTGTTTGTAGGAGAAAAACAGATAATATATATTGTTTTTTAAGTTGTTTATCATTTGTCTCGAACATTTTTAGATTGGCAGTGTTTACTATAGATATTAAAATCAACATTAATTTGTTTAAATTTGTTATTTTATGATGTTTATCAATGTATCAGATAATGTTCATTTAAAAAAGAAAACCTACTGACCATGCTTGTAAAATATGAGTTGGCGGGGGTACATCAAACAAAAAAATTTAATGATGGTCTTCAGAAGAAAAGACATACATTTGAAAACAATTCTGGAAAAGTTTAAAATATTGAGAAACTTACTTGAAAAGTTCTATGGTATTAAATATGACAAAGGTTAACCAGTGTATTGTTTTCATTTTATAACAATTGAAATAACATGGTATTGTAGGTATAATTTTAAACATTGTGCTCTTAAATTTTTTTTCTGATTGTAGTGATGTGGTTTGGTTACAAAATAAAGTAGATAATTTTGGAGTTTGAAATTTCACATGCATTTCAAAGTTGATAACTTGGAAAAATGTTTAATCCAAAATTTTTTTTTAAATGTGTATTTAAAAAAAAATGCATAGAAAATTGACCTTGTGATGATGAACTTTAGAACTGGAGTCTCTGAAAATCATTGTAGACAGTTCTGATCTGATTCAAGGTTTTATAAGAAAATATGAACCCCCCACCCCACCCCTATCCACACAGAATACAGTTTGGAGTGACATGTTAGGTTGAAGTTACATTGGAAAACATACATTTTGTAAATGATTGTTAGCAATTTCTACTTGAACTAGCGAGCATCTCATGTGCAATACTTGTCGCCTTCTATGTGTAATCTAGATCCCCTCTAAGCATAAAAAGGCTGCAACTCCATCACAAATCTTAAAGGGTAGGCTCAAGAACCACTAGGCCATGTGTATTTTAATGTGAAGCATTGATTTAAAAAAAACAAAAACTTATATCATATTTGCCCACACCATTTCCTTGCCTTTCATACAAATATGGAGGCGAGTTAACAATTCAAAAGAGATATTTCCCATATACAATTTTAAAAGGTATTATGACCTTGATCTGATGAATCATAGAACTGGAGTCTCTGAAATTTTATTGTAGAAAGTTCTGTTCTGATTCAAGGTTTACCTCAGAAAAATAATTACCAGGGAACTCATTGTCAGAGTATGTGTATTATCACAGTGAGGTAAAGTAGTAAAAAAAAAATGAAGGAAAGCAAATAAGGTTTCTCTTACTTGGATGAGATGATGATCCCGTTCATTAAGATAAAAAGTCTACAAATTAATTGGAGATTAGTATATATATAGTAACAGGTATTTATGTCTTGACAGGTGTGTGGTCAGTACATTATCACCCCGGAGACAATGAGGAGAGCCAAGAAGAAAATGGTAGTGATGCATCCTCTACCCAGGGTCAATGAAATCCAGTAAGTGGAATCCAAACTTCTTTTTTGTAAAATCTGATTATTGGATGATTATTGTAGGATTGAGAGCAATTGGTTATAATGCATTGTTCTATTTAACTTTTCCAGTCCCGAGTTTGACTCGGATCCGCGAGCTGCTTACTTCAGACAGGCGGAGAACGGAATGTATGTCAGAATGGCTTTACTGGCAATTGTACTGGGAAAATGTTAATTAGATTTAACATTATATCATAGAATTTTAGATGGAATTTATTATAATCATTGGTGCATATGTTTGAAATCTGCATTCAAAAACACTAAGGGAAAAATTTAAATTTTGCTTTTGGGCTGAATATCTTAAGATATAAATACACTAGTTTGTATTTGAGTGAAAAATGTAAAAAGCAGACAATACACCTGCAAACAAAAAAAAAAAAAAACATGAAGTTTAGATCAATTCTAGTACCAATCATAATTTTGGAATTATCTTGAATTTAAATCTTCAGTGTCTCAAGACTTGAAAATGAGTTCAAAAATTCAACATATGTGAAAAAATTGTAACAATTATTCATGTTCACAACTCTTTTTTTCTCTTTGTGAAATGCTAGTATTTGATTTTGAATATTTTAAATGAAATATTAAAGTGCTTTAAAAATGAAAATGGTTTAGATTTTAGCTTAATAAATGAGAATGTTTTTGGAATTGTTGTAGCTAGAATGAACATTTCTCCCCTTAAAGTGCCATGTTGATTTTGTTAAAATTCTAGTTGATCAATGTTGATACAACTGTTTCAGAAGTTTTATTTCTGTTGGTGCATAATAATAGACATTTAAAAAGTGCTGTTAAAATTCTACTCCGTCAGTGTTGGTACGACTGTTTCAGAAGTTTTATTTCTGTTGGTGCATAATATTAATAGACATTTGAAAAGTGCTTTCTTACTGGGCTGTGTAATATATGGAGATTATGTAATATATGGAGATTATACTATACTTGGTTGTGATAAATAGTGTTCAGTATCCAATATATTCCAGAAGATGTTCATTTACTTGTCTTTGAGAAAAAATTCTATTTTTTAAAACAATTTTTCCATATAAAGACAAGTTTTACCGTATTTTTGCTTTTTTGATATTAAAAGAATTAATGAATGTTAAGAATCTCAATAATTTGATCAAACTGTTACATGTACATCATTATCTGATGCGGGTAAAATACCTTGGTATTCAATTTGTGATCTCTCATATAAGTGAAATTGTCTCATATATATATTGATGTGAATTCTATGTGAAAAGCAAGGATCAAAAATAAATTTATGTATGTTGTATTTGTTTGTTTTCTTACTTTTCTTGTTCCAATCTTGCAAACTAAAACAGCTGAGAGACAACTCCATATGCAGGAGATAGGGTAAATTGCTACATAAGAAAGAGATGTCAACGATAGAAAAAGTTGAAATCACATTTATCATATTTAGTTATGAAGATTAGCAAAGGATGGGGGAACAAGGTGTGCAGAATGCCTATGGCTTCAAATGTTAAGAAATTGTATTCAGTTGCTTGGTTTAAGGTAGATCGCGGGTTTACTCTCTGCCTGAAAACATAGGCTAAAAACGTGTCAGCTAACTCCTCTCGCTTTAAATTTTTCTTTCTGAAATTTTTTTGAGATTCGTCTGCGTGGTTACATTGTAATCGTAATTCAAATGCACTAATGTTGATGAGAACATCTGACGCTTTTTCAATGAAATATATAGTAAGACGTCCCTTTTCTGCCGGTATACGCATTTCAAACCATAATCATAACATTAAAACGAATCAGAAGAATTTTATAATACTGGATACAATGAATGTGAAGTAAATTTAGAATCGATTTATTAAAAAAAATTAATATGTGTTCTCGCTCAATTTCTTGCAAAAAAACTTCAAAGTTTTACAATTTTAATCAGAAATATTATATTTTTCATCACGACGTTATATTACGTTGGTGCGACGTCATTATTTTCGTATGCCTGCATGACGCGAAAACAATTTAATTAATTTAGCAATTCACTCAAAAAAAGCATGCAATCCGTAAATTCAATTTCCTGATAAAATCATTGCCATAGTTTACCAACAGCATGGCTCTATTTCAATGTCACGTGTTTTCTTTTTCTCGCATAAACGTACAAGGCTAGGGGTGCAGAAAAATTATAACAAATGTTCATGGAGGTAAGAAAAAAAAACACCTTACCGGATTTGAGAACATTTTCAAACATCTATATTTCTTGCATCATTTTTTATCTATTAATAAAATGTTCCCGATTTTAAATCGGAAATATTGCAGTTGAATTAAAGTAGCAATCGGAACATCACTCGGCTTTTCCGTCAAGTCGAGAAAAAACCGAGTGATGTTCCGATTGTTAAAGTAGCTTTATGACCTACATTGTATACATTTATACTTCATAGAATGAATTAATTTTGTCTATCCCTTAATAAATAGACTTCACTTTTCCCTTTAAAATGTCGTAAAGGCCATTTCTTATCATTACTTTCATGGGCGTCTGAAGCAAATTGAAAGGGGGGCTAATTGAAAGGGGGGGGGGGGCTAAACCAACAAAAAAGGTAAAACTCAATTTTCAATTCATGTACATAGAAATTGTCTATATTTGCAAAAAATGGGGGGGGGGTAAGCCCCCCCCCGGTTCCGACGCCTATGAATTTGCCCAATTTATAGAATACTAAAGAAAGCATACAGTATACTATAGAAAACAGGTATAAATACTATATAAAACATTACTACTATATGCTCATGTCCCCTAATTAATACGCCTGATACCCCCTCCTTTTTATGCTTGTCAGGGAATTTTTGGTTGTTGATAGTACCCCCAACTGAAAATATATACGAGTTGCTGTGACTCTAAATGAAATTGTTTCCTACGGACCTGCAACTCTTGCCTTGACACCCCACCCCACCCCCACACACAAAGCACCAATAGCAGTTGTAAACCGAATTGCTATTGATTGTCAAAAATAAAAGGGTCTGAGTTATAGATGACAATTTATATATATGTTAACGTACATATTTTATTTGGTGATGTTACGTAAATCATTAACGTCTCTCCTGTTGATAATTATCTGATTTAACACCCCCCCCCCCCCGCCCCAAAAGAAAAAAAAATCATTAGTAAGGGAAACTCATGTACAAATGATATAGTTCATTAAGCATACTGACGTATCATATACTATTCATTTCTTTCTCGTTTTAAAAATCTTATACCTGTACTTGGCTGAGACAATATTGTTGCGCATAAAAAATATTACCAATCTAGACGTAAATCATCACGAAGAAAATGGATACCTTGTATAATGAGCTAGAGATGGTTGTAAAACAAATAAAAATAAAAAGTAGATTAGTATGGAGACTAAATTAAACAAACAAAACGAAATTCTTAAAAGTGAACAAAAAAATTAAACTGCAGGACAGGCGCCAGACAAACCGGGGGTGGATCTGTTTTTGCATTGTATCAACAATTAGGCAATACTATTTTAGAAAGGTACGTACATGTACACACAACAGATATCAGCGTTAAAAACTACTTATAATGTAAACCTTATAATGACAACCTTGTTCAAAACATCGTTTATTCTCAATTACATACAAAAAATATTTAAATACTTTAAACAACCTTTAATATATATTTCACTTTTAACTGCATACAACACTGCTGAAGATATATTTTGCTTGAACTCGGTAAGCTTTTTACGTCAAATCCTATTGTGACGTCAGCAAACCCGCGATCTACCTCAAGAGGCCCAGGGGCCACATTGCTCATCTGAGAAACTGGCTGGGTAACGGTGAAAATTAGTTCAGAATTGAAAAGTTTACATAATTATTTTATAAAAGTGGGTTCAGGGGAGGGGAGGGGGTATTTAAACAAACTTAAATCTACACTTCCTTAGAATGCTTTTGTGACACATTATGGTTTTGTTTTTTTTTTAGGATGAAAATTTTTATTGATATAGCCTTTGTATTCCTTTGTCCACTTTATGGCTCCTCTAAGTATTCTCCTAAATTTCACATCTACATTACCTTTTTAGCTCTACTGGTCAGAGACCAGAAGAGCTTATGCGATAGTAATGCGTCCGGCGTCCGGCCGTCTGTCTGTCTGTCCGTCTGTAAACAATTTTTCAAAACGCTACTCCTCCTACAATTTTAGTTTGATTTCAGTATAACTTGGCACACAAGTAGACTACACTAAGATACATAGAATAGTGCATCGGTTTTTGATTTCGATGAACGGTGTTGCCATGGTTACTAAAAATAGAATTTTCTGTGAAATTCCTTAAAAACGCTACTCCTTCTACAGTTTTGGTCTGATTTCAATATAACTTGGCACACAAGTAGACTACACTAAGATACATAGAATAGTGCATCGGTTTTTGATTTCGATGAACGGTGTTGCCATGGTTACTAAAAATAGAATTTTCTGTGAAATTCCTTTAAAACGCTACTCCTTCTACAGTTTTTGTCTGATTTCAATATAACTTGGCAGACAAGTAGACTACACTAAGATACATAGAATAGTGCATCGGTTTTTGATTTCGATGAACGGTGTTGCCATGGTTACTAAAAATAGAATTTTCTGTAAAATTCCTTTAAAACGCTTCTCCTACAGTTTTTGTCTGATTTCAGTATAACTTGGTACACAAGTAGACGACACTTAGATACATAGAATAGTGCATCGGTTTTTGATTTCGATGAATGGTGTTGCCATGGTTACTAAAAATAGAATTTTCTGTGAAATTCCTTTAAAACGCTACTCCTTCTACAGGCTTTGTCTGATTTCAATATAACTTGGCAGACAAGTAGACTACACTAAGATACATAGAATAGTGCATCGGTTTTTGATTTCGATGAACGGTGTTGGCATGGTTACTAAAAATAGAATTTTCTGTAAAATTCCTTTAAAACGCTACTCCTTCTACAGTTTTTGTCTGATTTCAGTATAACTTGGTACACAAGTAGACGACACTTAGATACATAGAATAGTGCATCGGTTTTTGATTTCGATGAACGGTGTTGCCATGGTTACTAAAAATAGAATTTTCTGTGAAATTCCTTTAAAACGCTACTCCTACAGTTTTTGTCTGATTTCAATATAACTTGGCACACAAGTAGACTATATTAAGATACATAAGTCTGTGCATCGGTTTTTGATTTCGATGAACAGTGTTGCCATGGTTACTAAAAATAGAATTTTCTTTGAAATTCCTTAAAAACGCTACTCCTTCTATAGTTTTGGTCTGATTTCAGTATAACTTGGTACACAAGTAGACTACACTTAGATACATAGAATAGTGCATCGGTTTTTGATTTCGATGAACGGTGTTGCCATGGTTACTAAAAATAGAATTTTCTGTGAAATTCCTTTAAAACGCTACTCCTTCTACAGTTTTTGTCTGATTTCAATTTAACTTGGCACACAAGTAGACTACACTAAGATACATAGAACAGTGCATTGGTTTTTGATTTCGATGAACGGTGTTGCCATGGTTACTAAAAATAGAATTTTCTGTGAAATTCCTTAAAAACGCTACTCCTTGTACAGTTTTTGTCTGATTTCAATATAACTTGGCAGACAAGTAGACTACACTAAGATACATAGAATAGTGCATCCGTTTTTGATTTCGATGAACGGTGTTGCCATGGTTACTAAAAATAGAATTTTCTGTGAAGTTCCTTTAAAACGCTACTCCTTCTACAGTTTTGGTCTGATTTCAGTATAACTTGGCACACAAGTAGACTACACTAAGATACATAGAATAGTGCATCGGTTTTTGATTTCGATGAACGGTATTGCTATGGTTACTCAAAATAGAATTTTCTGTAAAATTCCTTAAAAACGCTACTCCTTCTACAGTTTTTGTCTGATTTCAAAATAAGTTGGCACATAAGTAGACTACACAAAGATACATAAAACAGTGCAATGGTTTTTGATAAGTACAAACCAGTAGAGCTACAGTCTCGACAGAGACGTCTGGTTTACTTTTTTAAATTGATGATCAATCATCATGATGGCTTTTTAGCTCACCTGAGCCGAAGGCTCAAGTGAGCTTTTCTGATCGCATTTTGTCCGTCGTCCGTCCGTCTGTCTGTCCGTCTGTAAACTTTTCACATTTTCAACTTCTTCTCAAGAACCACTGGGCCAATTTTGACCAAACTTGGTACAAAGCATCCTTGGGTGAAGGGGAATTTAAATTGGTAAAATGAAGGGCCAAGTCCCCTCACAAGGGGAGATAATCAAGAAAAGACAAAAATAGGGTGGGGTCATTAAAAAATCTTCTTCTCAAG